AAGCATCTCCATGGAACCATCACTGAAACGATGATCTAATTCCATTAATTGACAATTAATTGCTTCATAAAAGATATCCACTCGGTAATGATGCTCAAGTGTATGATCATTATGCTCATTACGAGCTCGATTCCCTCTCCTAACGTAGGAAGAAGACAAGTCGGGAATATCTATGTTACGTACCTAAGTGTTTAGATTGTATGATTTTAATTCATATTCATGACTGTTAAGTGTTAACCAAAGAACAAACCAGTGAACAAACCAGTGAAGAGTCAAGAGTGAACTGTTAACTCAATCTGTATGATTTCAATTCAGGCCATAGATACCACAGAAACAGAATCATTTCTATCACACAATCCTTTTTACACTTATAATTAACAAACCCTAAATCAAATAACATTGATCAACAATATAGTCATAGACTCATAGGCCTAATTCCTATCAACAAATAACAATAAATATACAGGCATTAGGCATACTGCATACAGCTTTTGGGGCCTCAAGCACAAACAGAACAGGAAGTCAGGAACAACAGGCATGAGGCAACAGCAGTCAAGAAGAGTCAACAACAGAAAATGAGAGAAGCAGGGCTTACCGCGAGTTAACGTGGCCGGCTGGGCGCTGGCCGTCGACCGCCGAGTCCGAGTGCCGCCTCCGCCTCCGCCTCCGTATACGCTGGTCGGCTGTCGCTGGTGGTCCCCTGTCGCCGTCGTTCCACAGCCCACAGTCCACACTTCACACTCCACAGCCTGCACTGCAGTGGTCGCCCGTTGCCGTCGGCCGTCGCTCTCGTCTCGCCTCTCGAGTCTCGCCTGAGTAGTGAGTGTCCGGAGTCGCCTTTCGGGATTGGAGGGTGGGGGGGCCGATTGAAATTTTTTGTTTTCTAGAACCTCTGGTCTAAACTAGTCAATGGTATTTGGGAGAAAAATCACAGGGGCCTGGGCCCCTATAGGCCCATATTGTGTTCCGCCCCTGGTACACATCATCATATATATTGATCTCAACACCATGCATGTATGAATATGATATATATATATATATATATATATATATATATATATATATATAAAAGAGTAATATAGCTTTCATTCATTATTTGACATCCAATTATTTTAACATGATAATAAATATTGTTTGTTGCTACAATAATCCAACCCCCCCTAAAATTCTTGTATTAACTTGCAAGCCACGGCCCCTACCTTTTACTCTTCACGTCTTCCAACTTTCTTTCTTTGTCTTTGACTTATATGTCTCCTTCCTTTCCTTCATATTATTTTTTTTAAATTACAAGTTAAATATAACCTTTTTAAGGAAATATTTGTGGCCAAATAATATATTTTATAGCTTAAAAACGCATTTTTTAGGTAGCGTTTGATGTGCAAACTAAACGAGACTGGACAACTATTATGTGCATGGCGTGACTAATTAATTGTTTGTTATGCATTTAGTAAAACTAGAACATGACCGGACAAACTCTCAAAACTGTCGGATTCCTTTCATTTTAATATTTTTATCATAAGAATAAAAAATTATTATTTAAAATATATATATATATATATATATATATATATATATATTATGTAGTGATTTCAGATTTTGTTTATGTTATGACGGTAAAATAGTAATTTTATATTTTTGTTCAATGATGTTCCACCTTTGTGGTGGAACATAAAAGACTCTAGTTTAAAAAGGAAAATTGATTGAAATAACCATTTTTCATGAAACAATTCACCTCCTAGCCATTCTTCTCATAATTTCATTAAAGAAAAATCATTACCTTCGCAAAGGCCCGGGTCGCACTTGCAAAGGGGCCAATTAAAAAATATTAATCTTAAGTTTGAAACTATGATCTCTTTCTCTATATCAATGGCCCGTTAAACAATTGACGTCACTTGATATCCATGGCGCATTTTTGAAAAATGAAGACCTGAGAGGATTGGCACCTCCGTCGGTGATATATTGAGAGGAGTGGCACCTTTTACAAGTTTAAAACTTAACTACAAAGGTGGTAACTGATTGGTTTGAGCTTGGGCTCCAAAGGTCAAAAGTGGCTAGCTAGAGGTTTCAAGTTCAAATCCAATGATGAATAAAAATTCTCTTGTGACCATGGAGGTTAAAATGCGGTGGCCACCTGGGATTAGTCGGCTCACATAACGGATTGGATATCCAAGTTAATCGGAAAAAAAAAGTTTGAAACTTGGCTGACACTTGAGTTGAGTTCTTTTATTGTGTAAAATACCCCCTCCACAAGTTACGACAAGGGAACTTGCAGAGGTATTGATTTTTTTCGTAAGATATGGAAGATGGTTGGTTAGGAGGTAAATTGAGTTAGATAAAATGGATATTCACCTCAACTTCCCTTAAATAAAACCAATTTGTGATAAGTTATTTTATTTGATACAGGGAAAGTCTGGCTTTGGTTAAAAAAAACTATGAAAATCTGATCAAATAATTAATCTGAAGATAATTTAAAATATTTATTACAGTAATACCCAGAAATAACTTTCATAGATCATAAAAATACAACTAAATGCACATAACAAAATATAATAAAATAAAACTATTTTCCTTAAACCATAGAACCATGTATGTAATAAACTCATCATAAAAAACTATGATTAGTGAATAAACAAGTATAGTATATAACAAAAAGTTTGTGTACAAAATAAATATAAATTAGAAAATAAACAAGGGATACAAGCACCCGTGTCCAAGACCGAATGCCCGAATGGATTTATCGAGCTAAAACGGATCTTAATTTTGGATAAGGACAAAGTTGAACCTTAGAATCTGATGTTGGAAACTTTCTTAGGTTAAAACGAGTCCTCAAAAATCAAAACGTAAATATCTTTAATCAGATCATTAATTCATAGAGCAGAACGAATACGCTTATTTTTTTTTTTTTATGGTATGATATATATGACTCCCTTAAAGAAATGGAAGTTATTAGGTTTATTTTAGGAAAGGGACTACAAATGTGGTGTAGACAAGTAGCCTATCCTTACTCTCAAGTAAAGCATAAAATGACCCATACACCCTTTATTCTTTCTTCTTCTTTTTCTTTTTCAGGCAATACTTCCTTCATCTTAATGTTGGTCTAAAAGAATGTCATTTCATCCATTTATTTATCTGAAAAGACTATTATAAGTTACGTAATGATATCAGTTATATCATTTTTGTTTAAATTTTATCTACAGACGCCCGTATGTCTTATTCATACCATTTCAGTAATTGTTGATGAATTTTTACAAACACCAATAGCTATTGATTTGTAAACGTGATCTACGGAATAGGAATTCCGTCAAAAACAGAAGGCGATCAAATTTACCAAGTTCAGTTTGTTTCACGTTCATTTGAATGTGACATATGGGCAGTTTCATTTAGAAATTTTGATTATTTTCATAATCTAAGGAACCATTTATTTTGTGAGTATTCATGATAAATATTATTATTCTTCATGAATAACATTTATCATGAATACTTACCAAAAAAAAAAAAAAGTGGTTCATGAGTTCCTAAAATATCTAAGGTTCATAAATGAAACTTTTTCTCGTGCGACCAACATAACTTTAATTTAACGAGTCGGGCATGCTATTTTGTAATTTCCGTAACTACAGGGGTAATATGGTAATTTCATGAAATAATAGATATATTTATCTTGAAAGGAAAAGAGTGAAGGCAGTGAGTAATTGTAACTTGGCTTGTGAGATTCATTTGCTTCAATGACATAATTCAATAGTGACGTCTGCTTTCATTCGGTTCGTATATAAAGAGGGTGGTGTAGACTTCCACATTAAGCATTGCTTCCCTTTCTTGGCTTTAAGTTTTTTTTACATCACCACCACCGGCACCGGCCACAGTGAACCACCACCATGACGGAGAAGACAGTCGTATCTTCAGGGCTGGGCCACCTTTTCATGACGGTATTTGTTTTCAATTTCGCCAATTTCATGGTGGTCCCGGCGATTACAGATGTCAGCATGGCGGCACTTTGTCCTGGGGAAGATGAATGCTCCTTGGCGATTTACCTCACCGGAATTCAACAAGCGGTAATAACTTTACCTAATTTATTTATATTAATTACGCTTGATCTTTATTTATTATTTTAATCACAATTTAAATGCACTATTCTGTTATAATTAAGAATAGAATGTAATTAAAAACTACGTTTTTTTGATACTTTCTATGTAGATTTCTTGCTTGTTTCGCCAAAATGCACGGCAACATCGAAAAAGTAATTTATTTTGTATATTTACTATAGAGTTAATTTTTATTCTATTTTTTAATTTATATATGCACATATATAATGTTTATTTATATATATATATATATATATATATGTATATAGATAGAGAGAGAGAGGGGAGGTATTGTACAACCCTTTATATTTATGCAACCAATACAACTCAATCTCAACCGTCCATTTAATTTGATGAATATGTAATTTTATAGAAGTTTTGATTGTTTTCTAATATAAAGTATTGATCATAATAAATGAACTTTATTCATCTTCCATAAATATTTAAATCATAATAAATGAACTCTCATTATTTTCATAAACATTTTAATTTATTGGGTTGCATTGTTTGTACAAATATAATGGGTTGCATTTGAAACAAACTCTATATACATATATAGGGGTGGGTTCAAATAAAAACCACTCAATTTGTAAAAACCGTGAAAACCTCATTCAACCAATCATAATTTTTCATTTTGTTAATTTTTTTGTAATTATGAGAGGTTGATTAACCATTTTTATTGTGGAGGGTGTTAATCATGGATATTATCATCTTCATTATTTTAATTTTAGAGAAATACATGAAACAGTTTCATTAAAATTTCATTAAGTAGTATATGAAACAATTTCATAATCACATATGAAACAACTTCATCAAAAAAAGTATTATATGAAACAATTGCACAAGATTAACAATTTCATGAAAAAATTTCATAAGATTAACGACGGATGAGAGTAGTTTTTACGGTTTTTATAAATTGGAGTGGTTTTCATTTGATCGCTCCTCTACATATATATATATATATATATATATATATATATACATATACATCTTAAATGCATAACAGTTCATTTAAAATATTTAATTAGTATCAGTCGTGTAAATGTCGTAAAGGTAAAAAAAAGCATAGATTATTTTAACATATTTACCATTAAGAAACGTTTATATGTTAATACTTTTATGGATATTACTAAATAAACCGTTCATAAATATAAATCAAATACGTTACAAATATAAAAGAAATCAGTTTGGGGACAAGAGTGGTGTCTGATTGGTGTGAACTTGGGCTCCAAAGATCAAAGTACCTGGAGGTCTCAAGTTCAAATCCCAGAAAGAATAAAAATCCTCTTGTGGCCACGGAGGTTCAAATGCAGTGACTCCGGGCCATCCGCAAAGTAGGTGGTCGCCCTGTGATTAATCGGCTCGCATAACGGGTTGGATATCCAGGTTAATCAAAAATAAAAAATAAAATAATAATTTATATAATACATAAAAAGTTTATTCAGTGTTCCCTATTTCAATGTAGACAAATTTTTTGGTTGGAAAAAAGAATTGGTGTCGGAAACAAAAGAAAAAAACGAAAGAACAAAAGATAGGGGGTGGTGATGTTGTTTGGTGAAATCTTTTGAACAAGTTTTTCAAACGAATTTCTAATTGTTTTACAAATCAAGTCTCTTTTGTTCACACGTTTTTTATTTTTTTCACTTTTCTCATGTGTTTGTCATATGAGAGACATTTTTTCATGTTTTTTTCTATCATAAATCTTATATTCAACCCCTTTCCTTCACGGCTTCACCATCATCCTCCATCTTCGGCATCCCTCCCTTATTATATATATATATTTATATATATATATATATATATATATATAATATTACATTATTTATATTTTGAAGAGTAAATTATGTTTTTTATTCATGTCGTTTGTTAAAAATTATGGATTTTGTTCTTGTGGTTTTAAAATTCTTGCTTTCATTCTTATGATTTGCAATTCATTTATATTTTCGTTCATGAGCCCAAAACACTACTTTCAAGTATGAAGGACCAAAATAGAAATGAAATAAAAACCATAGAGACGAAAAAAGCAATAAATGTTATATCGTAAGGATGAAAAAAGTGATGAATTATAAACCATAAGAATGAAAATTGTAATTTCAAAACATTAAGGATGAAAATATAAATTTTTAATAAACCACGAGAACTAAAAACGTAATTTACTCTATTTTGAATAATATTTTTTGTTTATTATATATATATATATATATATGTATGTAATACTATTTTATTTTGATCCGATGCATCTCATTGCTGTTGATATTTAATTAACATTGATCCAAGTATGGGTTTCTTTTTACCCTTCTCATCATAACTTTCATTCTCATTAGAACTCAATCATACACAATGGATGACATAAATGATCAATTTAAAATAAAATGATAAAATTAATCTTTCAAACTATCGTTAATAATTTATTTTAATTAATGTGATTAGAATTGAATAAAAACAAATCAGCTGTTATAATTAAAAAAAAATTATATGTGATTAATATAGTCATATATAATATCTATTTTTTTTTAACAATATCATGTTTTAAATTATAATACACCACTCTGCAATTATGTAAAAAGGTTTCAAAATAATATTTGATAATATTTTGAGATGACTCGAGCTGATAAACATTAAAAAAATTCAAAGTATTATCAGTTAAGCTACTTTAGTTTTCCTAAGTTTAACCTTAATGTTACAAAAATAGACATGTATACTTTTTGATTTGTTTTATATTTGACTAAATACAATTATTAATTTTCTAGCAATTGAATTATTTATGAATATATAATAAAATGTGAACTTCACAATTGTAACCCAATGTATTAATTGAATAACAAATTGTAAATAGTTTTAAGAGCACACTACAATTTTGGTCGCTATGATTAACGCTAAACTTCAAAAGTGGTCTATAGACTTTAATAACTATAGTTATCATCCCTCCTGTTTACATTTTGTTTTGAAAATCGTTCCTGGTCATTGCCTCTGTTAAAATTGTTCGTTAAGTAAGGGTGTTTCTGTCTTTTTAAGTCTTTTCTTTTTCATTTTTTATTAAACGGTTTCTAAAGTACACATGCTTTAAGCATATGTACAATCCATCAATGCACCACCCTCATCTTCTTTCCCAAACTCATTTTCTTCCCTAAGATTTAATAGCTCCGATGAACTACAAATTCCTTTTGGTGAACCCATGGCTACAATTTTCTTCCTATGAACCCATGCCACGTTAACCAGATGAAAAATATACAAGCACCACCAATGTTGTTCGAATGTTTTGACATGTTTCTAATTCATATCCATAATCAAACGTTCATACTAGGAAGTCAAATTAAAAAATTTGAGACGTTGAAAATTATGAATATAAAGCTTCATATTATCCTTAACAACCCATAAATTTATGAATATAAAGCTTGAAACGAAGAATAAACAAGAAAAGGGAAGCCCATGTGCCAAACCATCTTACGTATTTCAAATCAGATTGAAGACCTCATAGCCTGATTAAACCATTTATGGAATAACGAATAATTGATTAAACCTAAATCAATTATATATACAAACACAAATCCTAAATCAAGATACAAACTCATAACCTAAATATCTCTTTAAATCAAACTAAATCAAGGGGAGAGGAGGTTTCCATTTACAAAGAGAAAACAAGGAGGGGAGCGTTCATCTGGGGAGCTGGGATTGAGGGCATCGGAGTCACATGGATGAGGGGCGCTAAAGCTATAGAGTTGCTTAGACTTTGATGCTCAGACTTGGCTGAGCGCCTCCCTCACCAAGCTTGGAACATGTTTGATTGTAAATCAAACCTGGAGGAGTGAATTTCGAACCATTCAAATGAAGGAGTAAGTTTTGAGAGAAATGTTGAGGGTGAAAGATCAAAGAAGGAGATGCTGGTTCACCGGAAAGTTTGAAGGGGGAAGGGTTGTGGCCAACTAAGAGCTCGCTGGATAGTTGGAGTGTGTATATGTATTCATATATATTATTTTTTTAACATAAAATTAGTAAGAAGAGGTAAAAAGACTGAAATACCCTTTAATTAACAGACAATTTTGATGGAGTTAATGATTATAGACAATTTTCAAAGCAAAATATAAATAATATGAACGATTAAAGTAGTTATTGAAGTCCAGGGACCACTTTTAAAAATTGATGTAAACCACAGGTACCAAACTTGTAGTTTACTCTAGTTTTAATTATTTAAAAAAATAATATTCCATTTTAAATAAAAGAGACAACATAGGAACTGTGTTTACATTTCTGCAGATGTGATGTGGACCATGGGATTCTGGATACTTGACCAAAATGAATAAACGGTAATATTTAATTAAAAATTTATTAAAAAAATACATATCTTATTTTATAAATTATACAATTAAAAAAGACTCATTAATAACCTTAAAAAGAGTACACTTTTAATATCCCTCCTAAAAATTGTAATAATTAGTTAATTGTATATTTTAATTAATTTTATGTATTAATAATCAATATTAAAGAATTCCATAACATTTTCGATGTAAGAAAATTATTAAGCTAATAATGAAATTTTCCTGTTCAAGAATAAGCAAATGGTTAGATCGATTAGTTTTAAAGTTATTAATAAGATCTTTTTAATTGTATAATTTGTATAATAAAAAATATACATATTAAAGTATTTTAATTAAAATATAATTAATTAACATGATAAAAATATATAATGAAAAATATAAAGAAGTAAAAGGATATATAAAAATTCGTAGGACCATATATGTAACATTTAAAATTAATAATGGAAAAAATTAATAGAATAAAGTGCACGCTCATGAGTAACATGAATTGGGTGCCCATTTTTTGAGAAAAATATATTTTGAAGTAAATTCTTTTTATTATTTGGTCAAGAACCCATGGGATTCTGGTTCAAGATTCCATTTCTGGTGGAATTAGTCAAACTTAAAACCTCCCATTTTTAGATAACACATGATTGAAAATTAAGGGGAAATCAAATTAAATATTAAATTAATTATAATCTGTCCAAAATTAAAATATAAATAAATTTAATTATACCAAAATACAATTTATTGAGAGTATTTTTAATTGGTTATTTGAAGTAAAAAATTGGAGATTTTAAAGATTTTTTTTATTAACTTGGATATCCAACCCGTTATGCGAACCGATTAATTTTAGAATGACCACCTGCTTTGCAGATAGTTCGGAGTTACCGTATTTGAACCTCCATGACCATAAGATGATTTTTATTATTTAGAGAAGGGAAAACAAGATGAGAAAAATAAAATTTATAAAACTACGTAATGAGATAAAAATGTATTATTAATTCTTTTTTATACTCTTTTTCATGTTTGTTGGATATTAATTGTACTGAATATTTTAATAATATAACAAATATTAAATGTATTGAATATTTTAATAATATAATTAATATTTAAATATTTAAAATAGAAAATTTGTTGAGGCATTAAATGTACTAAATTTTTTAATAATATAATTAATATTCGAATATTCAAAATAGAAAACTTATTAGAGTCCAATGTAATCTTCTTTAGAAATTTTGAATTTTAGTTCTTTATTTTAAATAAATTACATAAAATATGTTACAAATACTCTTAATTTAAAATATTTTTATAATTAAATTTAACTTCAATTATTTGTTTATCACCGATAATTTAAAGCATTGATAGAATTTCTTATAAACTTACAATTTTTTTCATGTGATACAATAATTTAGCTGTTTGATTGTTGTTACTAAATTATGCATCAAATTAAACTTCTTAACTTTTTATAACAAATATTTTCTATGAAATGTTTCTTAATTTAAAAAATTGCAATATTTGAATTGATAATTAACTTATTTAAAAATATTTATCATCAGTCATTTAAAAACTTATAAAGCCTTGAACGAACATCATTTTCGCAGTAAACAATAAAGATGTAGAGTATATAGAATAAATAGTCCTAATTAGTGACATGCGTCTTTAATATAAATCAGAGTTGAAAAAAAAAATGTCGACAAAAATAAGATAATTTTATTTTTGATTGGACTATCTCAGATAGCCCTAATGAAAAATAGGACAATTTTATTTTCTAGAATATAATTAGTCAACAAATGCATACAAGGTGGGATCCGTGCACTTATTCAACCAATTTTTGCAATTATTATTTTTTATATGAAAAATGTACACTATATATTATGGGTGGTTTAGGGATATTGTTAAATATAAAGGGTATCAACATAAAAACCTAAAAAGTCTCTGAAATTGATAAAAAGAAAACTCGTAAAATTCTCTTAAAACCAACAAAAAAAATTAAAAAAATCATTAGAAACAATGAAATTCACAAAAAAAAAACAAATCAGATGATTTTACGGATTTTTAAACCTTATTAAAGATATTTGTTCAGCAAAAAATCTTAAATCCGCCGCTAAATACGTATATAAAGTTTTAATTTATATATAATATTTAAGTTAGAGAAAATTGTAATTTGAAATCTGTAAATATGAATACAGATAACAGGAATGGGGAGCCTAGTGATGATGCCTTTGATTGGAAATCTCTCTGATCATTATGGAAGGAAAGTGATGCTCACCGTGCCGATGTTGCTCGCCACTTTACCCTTGGGTATGCTTTCTATGTCTTTTCTTTTTATTTATTTAATTAATTACACTAATAAATAAATTAACACTTAAAAATCAGAAAGTTGAGTATTATATCTATACTATCTTATAAGATTTTGTGCCTAAATCTTAAAACTTGTATATCTGTCTTATAAAATGTTAACATCATATTATTAAAAAAATCGTTTTTATATATTTTATTATCTACGTGTTCTAAAATTAGTAACAAATACAAGGAGTAGGTGTAGAGATGGTACTTTTATGTGTTCCAAAATTAGTAACGAATACAAGGAGTATGTGTAGAGACCGTATTGGACAAATTTTAGCACGTGGAGAGAAGGTTTCTCCGTATATTTATCTATTTTGTCCTTATTTTTATAATACTTGTTTTTTTTATATTTATTTATCTTTTAATACTGATTTAAATATATAAATATCGAGTTAATCTGTAAAATCGTTTATTGGGTTTTTTCTGATGTATTTGACATCTAATTCATATATGAATTCTATTTAAAAAAAGTATCACGTATTTGTTTTATATTGGCTTAATAAGATAAATTAAAACATTATACGAAATCGTCTTATCATGAATGCTAGACGGTTGTCTTGTTGCTTTCTTTAGGCATTTAAAGTTGGGTGTAGGTTCACTTTGGACGGTGAATTGTTTTATGCTTTTTGGAAGAAGAGTTTTTACTTTATTTACTTTGTTTGTACAAAGATAAAAATATATAATTTAATGAAATTGTTTGATTATTTGTAACATTTATAATATACGATTAAGTAAGTTTAATACGAGAGTTCTAATAATAATAGAAAGTTGTTATATTAGATGTGACGTGACATTGAATTTAAATTATAAACTTCACTAAAAAAATTCAAGGATCATTTAATATTTATAAACTCTCATGTTTTCTAAAACAAACTATGCGATATAACAAAAGTAGTAAAATGCTTATGACGTGTAGTTCAATTGATAAAAAGTACTCGACAACTTTACCTAAATATAGACAGGTAACGGGTTCGATCCTCTCATCCGTTCACTAGCCTCAACCACTGAGTAAGTCAAGAAATGTCTCTTTACATTAGTGTCCAAGTTCTGTATGAGACGGATTATGGTTGCGAGTAATCAACTTTAATAAAACAAAAGTTATTTAAACACGTGTTAATTTGTTATTGGATATTCAGTCTTTAAAAAAAATTGGAACCAAAAGAATGAAAAGGGGTTAGTGGATATGCAGGCATTAAGCAACCCGAAGTGGACCAAATCAAGGATACAACTTTTCTTAATGCATCCGAAAGTTAAAGTATTTATTTTCTAAATATTTTTTCACCTGAAATATTATTTTATATCACATAGCGAAAGTTATAAAATATTATTTCTTATATAAGTGCGTAAAACAAGTAAAAATATTGGTATTTTCGTATATGAAAAAACAAATTAATTGAATATTCAAGGGTCGTTTAACAAATATTTAATGGTAATTATTTGTCGGGTCAGTTTTATACCTTACACATGAACATGAAAAATACCAAGAATTTTACCCGGTAAAAACGATAATAAGAACCGAAAATCTTATCAAATATAATGATTCAATCATGTTCTTAGACTCCTAATCTTATCGAAACCATTTAAAATTTAGAAATCGTGAAAACCACCATCATAGATGAAACAACATATACGAAACCAATGAATCACCCTGGCGTATTTGGTAAATCCTTCGATAAAGCACCCAAATCCTACTTTATTCGGTTTCAGGTCGTCTTTTTTGGGGTTGATATCCTTTGTTATCTTTTAAGATCAAAAGTGAGCTTCCAATTTCACTTTTTACACATTTGGAATAGTTCCAGTGCCACTACTACTTTCTTCTTTTTATGTCATCACCACCCAATCTTAAAGCTTTTAACAAACAAAGGCCACCAATCTCTCTCTCTCTCTCCCCTCTTTACATTTTGATGTTAATATTTCATTTCAATTAACATATATTTTTATCTGTTAGATTATTTTTAACGTATCCTTAAAAATAGAAAAAAATTATTTACAAAAAATATACGGATGATATATAATACAACTAACTGATAATATATGGTGGGTAAAACAGTAATATTGGCGTACAGCAGGGAGAGGAACTTCTTCTATGCATACTATGTGCTCAAGACACTCGTCTCCATGATATGTGAAGGAAGTGTACTTTGTCTTGCACACGCTTACGTGGTAATCATCTTCATCTCTTTGTTATGTATTTGTATCAATAGCTTGTAAATTAACCGTAAGGGTCGTGCTTGATTGGTTTGAACTTGACTTCAAAGATCAAAAGTAACAGAAGGTCTCAGGTTCAAATCCAAGAGGAATAAAAATCCCCTTGTGGCCACGAAGGTTCAAATGCGGTGACTCTGGGCTATCTGTAAAGCAGGTGGTCGTCCTGAGATTAGTCGGCTCGTATAGCGGGTTGGATATCCAGATTAATAAAAAAATTAACTTGTAAATTATATATTAACAAAAAATTTGCCCATTTAAAATTATGAAAATTGGCTTTTTGCTTTTATAAAACTTATTTATTATATATTACTAGAACGGTACTCGCGGTGTTCACGCAAAACAGCGAGATACATTTTCACTTTAACGTTTCGTTTTATTTTTTTGTCTCTATTGATATAGTACGGTTTATATAGTTTTAAATAAAGATAATATTTTTACTTTTAAATAAAAATGTATTTGAATATATAAAAATTTGAAAAAAATATATTGATATTAATATCAAATTAACTATTTAAAAGTTCTTATTTTTTTGTACAATTTCTTTAATTTAATTTTTTATTATAATTTAATTTATGTCTAATAGAGAAGTTATTTATTTTTTGGGTTTAACAATATATTTTTTTATAAAGATAATGATTCTGTTAGAACTCAATAATTATTCTAATTATATTTTAAATTTTTTATATTTAAAATAGGATATATATCATGTATTTGATTATATTTATCTGCAGTTAGTTATACGAATTCAAAATAGAGCTTTAATAAGTTGTACTTACGCACAATTTACTTATAACCTTAAATTTTAAATATTATGCATTAAGAAACAATACTTTATGCATCAAAAAATGTTTTTAAGAGTTTTTGTCAAATGCTTTATAATATAGTATAGATATCTTCAAAAATCATGAAATCAGTTACTATTACAAGAATTACATAAATGTCCTTGGTTTGACTTATTACTAAAATGTTTGACTTGTGGAAATCATCAGGCGGATAACGTGGCAGTGGGACGACGGGGGTCGGCCTTTGGAATCCTTTCCGGCATATCATCCTGTTCCTTTGTCTTCGGCAATCTCTCCACTCGCTTCCTCCCCTCCGCCGCTTCCGTTTTCCAAGTAATTTTGCATAATATAAACACATTTCTGGTTCTATTTTATTCCAGTAATTTAATTGCTTGTTTGTTTTAGGTATCTGCGGCGGTGTCAATGGTTTCTGTAGTCTACATGAGAATTTTCTTGCCAGAATCGAGCATGGAGTCAGCGGTGATTGCCGTTTCGTCCAAAGAACAAACTGTGAATGAATCTCTTCTCGAAAAGGGGTGTACGGACAACCGCCGCCCTTTGCGTACGACTCCTTCTTTGCATGATTCAATTTCATTGTTGAGGAGCAGGTATGTCATTGTTCCTGTCTAGTAATACAATCTGAAAATTATTGGTAAATCGATTCCAAATTGTATAAGTATTTTATTTGAATAAAAGTAGGGTATTGATTTTGAGTTGGAAGCCTGATGAGTTTTGACACACGCAATGCTTATCATAGTGAAAATTGGAAAAACTGATGGCTTATTTCCTGAATGTTACTTTCAGCTGGACATTTTCACAAGCAGCTATCGTGGCTTTTTTCGGCAGCCTTGGTGAACTCGGTCTTTATTCTGCATTATTGGTACTTTATATACTGTCAACTAATTGTGATACTTTACTCAATAAAACACTAATTCTGATACTACTTTGAGCCTTTTCCATGGAGTTAAACTTTCATTTTTGTATACTGCAGTACTATTTAAAGGCAGAATTCCATTTTGATAAAGATCAGTTTGCTGACTTGATGATCATCAACGGCATCGCAGGGATCATATCTCAAGTATGCCTTCTAAATTTAGTATATTTTTGGGTAACCATGGTATCTGACTTTTAGTTAACCAATTCCACCAACACACATAGTTGAACCTGACAAAGCTATCCCTTACGGGAGATTGGTGTGACCCATATAGATTGATAGCACTCATGGAATCAAACTTGAGACCTCTTGCTTCATGAAAATGATAGGTGACCCCATGAGTATCGGTGATGCAATCAGTAGGGTGAAAGGAATATTTTGTATGTTTTTAAGATTCAACTTTGATGATAAAAATTTTGTACTCAACTTCTGCAGATGGTTCTTATGCCCCTGTTGTCTAAAGTTGTCAATGAAGAAAAAATTCTTGCAATTGGGCTCATCTTCAACTGTGTACATGTGAGTACATTTCCAGTTTGTTTTAATTTTTGACAAACTTCATAAAAGCATATTCATGACAGCTCTGGGTCCCAGAAGAACATCAAGGTTGAAGTTCTCATTTACTAAACTTGTTTGCCATATTATACAAGATTTTGAAAACTTAAAACTTAATACTCCCCATAAGCATAATGCAATACTCCAAGTAAACATAATTCATAAGAAAATTTCCACAACGTTCTATATTTTATACCCACTACTCAATATACATCATAGCCGAAGGGGTAATTCAAGAAACGCTAAGCTTCCCCTCTGAAGTACAGTCTTATGATTGTCCCACCAACTGAAGTGAATATTGATATCACCATAGAAGGAATAAGTGATTAGGGTGTGCACAAAGTCATCCGATCCAATTTAAGTTGACCGATCCATTTAGAACCGACCGATCATAATCAGATATCCAATTGTAATCGGATTGAATCGGATCCAAAATTTCAACATCCAAATCGGATCGGTCGGTCTTGGATGACAGTCCAACATCCAATAAAACCGAACCGATCCAATCCAATGACCATCCAATTCCCCATCCAATGACCATCCAATTCATATCTAATTAATAACTATATATAATTATTATCATTTCACGATATTTTTTTAGTTGATATTTATGTACATTATTTTTTAATAACTTAAGAAAATATATGAATAATTGGTTGAAATGGTGGATTAATTGGTTGAGTATTGGATCAAAAGATTGGACGGATCCAATCAAATCCAATGGATAACCAATAGTAACATGACAAAATCCAACATCCAATGGATGATTGGATCGGATCGGATCTACCTAAATCCATTGTATTTCACCCGATGAACACCCTTAAGTGATTTGCCTGATGTGATCTTTGGCTTTGAATACAGATCGTCCTTTACAGCGTAGCTTGGGCGCCCTGGGTATGTACTCGTGCCGTATTATCAAGAACAAGTTCTCTTTTCTTAATACACTTTACTGTGACATAAATATGCATGGTATGTTGCTACTGACTTTTGTAATTTGTATCAAACAGGTTGTTTATTTTGCAGCAACATTTCAGATTCTGGCTGTTTTTGCAGGACCAAGCGTGAGTTCTGTCTCTCTGCTGTATTTTCTGTCATTACTTTTTTTATTTATCCTCATCTTATAAGGAAGTTGATACTTTTCAGTTACGTAGCATCGTATCCAAACAAGTTGGTCCTACTGAGCAGGTAATCCATAGCGTATTTGGTTTGTATTCAAAGAATAATAGAGTCACAAGAATGTCTTTCCTTAAATCCGTTGATTAAGTTGATGGAACCTAAACAGATGATGGATTCTTGTATCGTCTTTTATATGGCTGTTATTTCTTTTCTTTCCAGGGAAAGGCTCAAGGGTGCATTACAGGCCTATGTTCCTTTGCCAGTATTGTTTCTCCACTGATTTTCAGCCCTCTAACAGGTGAAGAAACTTTCAAGGGTATGCTATATTTTCAGTTGATGTTAACTGGGGCTAATGAAGTTGTGCTTCTTTCCTGCAGCTTTATTCTTATCTGACAATGCTCCATTTGCCTTTCCTGGTTTTAGTCTTGTGTGTGCTGCATTTGCTATGGTAAGAGCTTTCGCACCATCTGAACTTATTCTGTTTTTTGATCTAGTTGGATCGGTTCTTGATATTTTGTCTACTATACTTGGGTATAAGGCAGAAATAGTATCTCAATTTTTTGTTGGGTGTTGCATCAAAATCACATTTTTTTCTCGTACTTTGATAAGAACGTGCATACGTTGACTGACAATAGTTTGGCCCCAAACTATATACCCAAATAACGAGTTCGACTACTGCCATACAAGTTGCTAAAGAGATTTATGTACATGCAGATGATCGCCTTCATTCAGAGTGTCATGATCAGAGCCCCTCCCCCACCTGTTCCAGATTCAAAACTTGACGATTCTGTCTCAGTGGAGCCTTAGAGTATTCTAATCAGAAGAGCAGCAAAATCTTAAGCACAAGCGTTTCTTTTTTCGTGGCTTGGTATGCTGGTGCATTTGCCGTTATACCCTCCTCTGATTATGTATATATATATATATATATATATATATATATATATATATATATATTAAGACCAACAGATATGTTAAATTTTTCACAACATAAAGTTAGCTACCTGCATACTAAGTAATGGACAAAAGTTCCATTTTGTAGGGGTACTTGTATATGTTGTCTAAGTTGGTAACAGAGGTATTTATCCTTGTTACTGTATATGAAAGCTATAGCGTATAATAGGAAGATGGTTAGGGGTCAATGAAGCCATAGTCCATGGGTAAAAGAATTAAGTCAACTTTGGTTATACATGTCTGATTGGTATATTATGGTATGTAACAGATGTGTAACGCTATTTTTAAATTTAATGAAAAATCTGAATTTAATCTTTACCTGTGCTTTTTGAGCTCCGCACTGAATCACTACCACTTTTATGCCCAATGCATTCTCACTGTCATTCTAACTGCACTATTGTTGCTGTGTCTCTTATAAACAATGGAGACAAACAGCCATGATAACGTGAGAACTGAAACGAAACGAACTTGAACTGCTTGGATGATAACGTGAGAACTGAAACGAAACTGAATCTGGGGTACACTTCGTTCACGAGTTAGAATCACCATGTCTGGGTTTTCAACGGGTCCGCAGACGATGGACGGAAATCAAATAGTATAGTTGGCAAAAGGACATCCCACAAAATGAAAATAAAGATGAAGTTTTGCAAATACTTGAAAGTGTTCTTTTTTCCGAATTTATGTTATGTAGGCAAATCAAAGTACACATGTCATGCCACGTAAGCCAATAAAAAATCATATAATCAGATTAGAAGATTACAAGTTAACCATTGTTATAACGGGATAATTTTTTCAAAAAACGATGCATTAATAAAAAAATATTTTGGTAGTATATTGTTATAATAAGATATTTTTGCAAAGTACATTGCTATATATCTTGTACTTAACCCTATTTTTTTGTTGTTCTTTTACAAACATGACTACTATTTTTGTACACTGTTCACTAAAAGTCAAATACTTTTAAAGAAGGACAGACATATCTATTCCAAACAATCAAGTTTTGACATATGGACAAATCTGATACATCGCATATAATGCTATGGGTATAAATATCAATGCCGAGCTGTTCATTTAAGAGAACTGAACCATTATAAACTGTGTTCATTTCTTTTTTTTAGGATGGCGTAAATATCCTTTTCTGTGGGCTGAAAGAGAGAAATGCACGAGACCAGGAGTGGATCATTTTTGGGCTGTTATTTAATGGGCTGTTAAGTTAAAGCGTCTTGTACCATGTATTGCATTACAATTTACAAATAGTATTAATTTGTGTTAGGTTTACAGGAATGAAAAGGATAGGGGGAAATTTGGAATTCAGATTTAAGGACCATTTACCAAACACTTATTCGGTAAGCACGTATCGGTAAAATTTAACATTATCACTTACTTATCGGGTAAGACTTTAGTCCACCAAAACGACATTGTATGCAACAATTTATCCATTAAGCGCTTACCATGGTAAGATTCGTCGCCATCACTTACCGGGTAAGACTCTCGGTCCTTGTTTCCCTCTTACCGGGTAAGATTCTTGGTTCTTACTATATTCATCCGGTAAGGTGTGTATTCCTATCCATGTATGAAACAATATCATTAATAAGGATATATTATACGTATTCAACATTTTAGAAAGAAGTTACACATGATATGTATTATTTGTTTTAAATTATCTTAACATGTTGCATTATGCTCCGTAGGTTTTAGTGTTATGTATAAAAAATGAGCTTTATATTGTATGGGCTCACTAGTACTTTATTTTGATGCTAATGATACCGTAAGGGAATGCTTGGTATGCAAATGGAGAAGGTTGAATATAACGAAGGAGAGCACACACGAGATAAGAAGCTTTTCTCCTATTTGACGTACCAAATGTGCCCTGAGGGGGATGGGGGACATGTTGAGTCCTCCGAGGTTAGATCGCCCTAATTTGGGTAAGCCGATCTAAACTATACTATAAGAAGCTATGATTGATACCATACTAACAAAACCAATATCAATTAAAAGGAATAATTGTTATTGATGATTACAAGCATGCTTCATGAAATTATATGCATAATGATGTTTCTAAAAGCAATGTGTTTAAGGGCTTTTTGGTAGTTGTTGAATGGTTTAGTGCAGAAAGATTAAGTGGTCAGAATGATTAAAGGCTCTCGTGATATAGTACAAAATGAAATATAATTGTTTGGTAATTATTTACAATGAAATTAGGGTCCTGAATGATTAAGGGAGACCCAATATGTAAAATTATTAAGAAGATTTTAGAACCATTAAGAGTCAGATTTTTTTTTTGCCAAACAAGATTCACCTCTTAATGATTCAGAGACTGTCTTTTAATGAAACTATGAAGAGGTAAACAAATAACCCTTCAATATATGTTTGTTTTTAAATATGCTACTCAATTTTCCTTCCATTTTCTTTCTCTTTTTTGATCAATCTCAAGAAGGGAACATCATTTCCTACTTCGATCAATTTTTAAACAAAAAAAAAACCATCGTACTCCAAGCGGATTAGACGACCCAAATATAACTTACACATCCGTGATATTTTCAATCTTTCTTGGAAAAGTTCAAACTGTATACGAAATCCATTAAGACAACAAATAGATAACGTCCGTACAATAATTGTTCTATACATGGCAAATCTATTATTAGACTTGCTATTTTGAGGTGATGATGTTTTTTTTATAGTGAAATAATATAATGAATATTTATCATGTAACATGTAACCTTTAGAGATTAAACTAATGAGTAAGACTTTAGATCTAATCCAACATGTATTATTTCTTAAAAATCAGATCTGTTTATAAAGAAAACTTAAGGTCTGTTTGGTTTGTAGGATTTGGAATTGGATTCCATTCGGTCCATAAACATTGGATTTAGACTAGATATTTCACGAGATTTCATAGGATCTGTTTGTGACAATATTTTGAAATATGTTATTCGATTTCATTTTAAATCTTACAAACCAAACACATTAAAGATTTTAAATCGAAATTCAAATATTTTAAAACATTTTTTCAAACCAAACACCGCTTAAAATTTGTATGGTTTTCATGAAGATTAAACTTAAAACCAATTGAAACCCCAATTTCATGTCAACCTCTTATTGATATGGAAATTAATGAACACAAGAAGCAAAAAAAAAAGTCTAAAGAATTGATGTATTTGTATTTTGGAGAAAAGATAGCAAGTGCCATTAAAAACCTTAGAAAGTCAAGTGACAGAAGGTCATTAAGAAAAGTCATAAGTTTAATAATACATTTTGAGGGTTGGGTTTACGTGAGACTCGTAAGATCAATTTATATTCATTGATCAACTTTATATGCTAATGACCTAATGGTCTAAAGTTGTACGGTGACAATTTTGTGATTATTGAGAAGTCTCGTGACAATTTTATGATTATAAATGTTCAGATTATAGATCTAATCCAAATATTAAGAATTAGTCTTATGAGTCTCATGAAAAACCCTTGTTCTCACGTGATCCCAAATCTACATTTTAATGTCATATTTTACGAATAAATGTAATATTTAAGTAATAATCAAATAATACTTAGGCAAATGGTACAAAAAGTCATATGTGAACATGTATTTATTCTCTGGGCTGTGGGAACATCCACGTGTATTACAGTTACGAATTTGGTTGCCAAACACAACCACCTCATTCAAACCTTTTTTTCTCTTGCCCCCCACGGCCACACGCCCACACCTTCCTCAATTTGCATTTTGAAGACGCCGCCGTTCGCCGGAGATCCCAACGGCACTACTACAATCACCGTCGTACCGTCCCAGTATCTCCGGCGGTCAATCGGTTCTTCAAGTCAAAACAAACAAACTTTCAGTGCAGTTACTTTAATCAATTATACATAAAACCGATTTTGTTTTTGATACTTTGGAAATAATATTACTAGAGTGGTGCAGCCACGATGCCAAGTGGTACTGATTCAGATTCGATTGTTTATCTTCACGGCGACCTCGATTTAACGATAGTCGAAGCTCGATGTTTGCCAAATATGGATTTGTTAACTGAGCGTGTGCACCGCTGCTTCACGATCTTTGATTGTTGTAAATCACCTTTATTGAAAAAAAGAAGCAAATCGCAGCGCCGTCGTAAGATCATCACCAGTGATCCTTACGTGACAGTCAGCGTTGGGGGAGCCACCGTCGCACGAACGCGCGTGATATCCAACTCTCAAGACCCTGTATGGAACGAGCATTTTATCACGCCGCTGGCGCACCCGGTGTCTCATCTGGAGTTTCAGGTTAAAGACAATGATGTTTTCGGAGCGGATTTGATCGGGATCGTCGTCATCTCTGCCGAGAGGGTAATGTCCGGAGAGTTAATCGACGATTGGTTCCCGATAATTGGTCCGAGTGGTAAACCGCCAAAACCTAACGCGGCATTACGGTTACAGCTCAGATTCATTTCTTGCGATGATCGGAACAAGGGAAATGCACTTGGCATCAATGAGTTATTTGACCTAAAAGATAGTTATTTTCCGGTGAGACACGGGGGAAATGTGACATTGTATCAGGATGCGCACGTCGGGGAAGCGCAGTTACCGGAGATCGAATTGGATGGAGAGTGTAAATTTTACAAGCAGAGAGGGTGTTGGGAAGATATATGTCATGCTATCTTAGAGGCTCATCATTTGGTGTATATCGTTGGGTGGTCGATTTACGATAAGGTGAGGCTGGTTAGAGAGCCTAGCAAACCATTACCAAGTGGTTGGGATTTGACTCTTGGCGAGTTGCTCAAGTACAAATCACAAGAAGGGGTGAGGGTTTTGTTGCTGGTTTGGGATGATAAGACGTCACACAACAAGTTCTTAATCAAAACGGTATGAATTGGTCTTCTTGTATCCTTCTCTGGCATTGGTTTTTAGATCATCTTCATTCATCATTGTTGCTAGTTGTTCATGTGCTTTCGGTCTTACATTTCCTTTAAACATGAATTATGAACAAAATGATAGTAATTATGTGGGCCTCCCCAAAAGGCTTGATGTCTATTCCTATGCATTCCATAATGGGACTATGGGAGTGCTGGTAACCACCTTGGAACATGTCAAGATGGAGTAGATGCTTGCAATATTTTGTTGGATATCAGTATGCTGTATGCCAAAGTATTATATTTTGGTACGTTTGTAGGATGGGATAAAGCATACCCAACAGAAAAGGTTGAGCCTTTATGGGAGGGAAAAAGTATTAATCCTTATAAAGACACTGGAACCATGTTTGCCTTCAATTTTTCTGTCTTTTACGCCTTTTCCTGTTCTGAATTCAGAATTAAATTTATGCATGTATAAACTATGGTGTGTTAAAGTTTTTTTTGAAGTATATAATAATTATATATGGCAAATGCGACAAATAAACTCATACACCCTCCTCACCTTTGATGAGGTTTGAACCTGGAGGTCAAGGGCCCAGATACTGCTAGGCCAAAGGCCCTTTGGTACGTTTAAGTTGTCAGTTTGTCATCTATTGTTTCAAGAACTGGACGGGGAAGAATTTTGAGAGGGATATGGTTTATGTTTACCATAACATTTCTGCAGTTCTACCTAGCGATATTCCAGATTGGTATTTTTACTGGCCACATTATTCCTGATGAATATCATAGTTGCTACCTTCTCAAACATTCAGATTTGATGTTACCTATGACCATTTTTGTGATAACTCAGCTTTTACCTGAACTATCATTTAGGCTCCTTAAAGTGATTTTATTCAAATCCTTTATGATAGCACACACATTTTACTATAATATGTATGTTTACAAGTGTGTAAGGTGTGCCCAGGTGATTTAAATCTTAGTATTTTATATGGTTCTATGTGCAGGAGGGAGTTATGCAAACTCACGATGAAGAGACGCGGAAGTTTTTCAAACACTCCTCTGTCCACTGTGTGCTGTCACCTCGATATGCAAGCAATAAGCTTAGCATTTTCAAGCAACAGGCATGCTTCATACTATGTCCCAGTTGTTAGTTGTTAAGGGCATCTTGTATGTAGATTGCTAAACGCTACCATGCCTGACCTCAAAAGATGTTTAGAAGTTCCAAAACATGTGCACCATGGTTTGGGAACATCATGGAGACTTGAAATTCAATCATATATGTGCAACAACTTCTGGAAAACTTTGGTAGCCTCAGTTAACTCATCCTTTCATTCTGTCAGTAAATAAGATTACTGATTACATTGGACCAAATGAAAGATGGTGCTCCGAAGAGGAAAAAATATGGTGAAACAAAATTTAGACAGCAACAATAATAACCATAGACTATCAACACAGGCATTACATAATAAATTTATTAGCTATGGCCCGATGAGTACCAGCTAACCCATTTGTGTAACTCCTATTACAATCTTTGTTTTTAACATAATTGCAATCTTTATTTTGCATCCTAGTTTTGTGAACAAACTCTTTGATTGTATTTAGAGCAGAACAGGGAAATGTCAATTGTCAAGGACAGAGACAGACAATTTTATAATTTTTTCGAACCACAAGAAGGATGTTTCTCAGATCACTGTTCATATATGAATATTGTGTGGACTAGGTCGTTTTTGTGATATATTGGGAGTTATTCAGTTATGGGAATCAAATAAGCTTCATATATTGCCATCAGAATTGGGTATAGATCAAGTCATCGATGGTCCATTCAACTTCCTGAAGATGAGACTTACAATCATTACACAATTTAGAGTTTACTTGTGTTTGCTTGAAGTTCTATCCATAAATCAGTTCTGCGTCCCTGGATTCTTTCTTTTTTGTGTTGCCCCTATCCTTCTCAATATGGATCCGTGGTCATGGTTATACATGTACAGATTCAATAATGTTAATAGACGATGGTAGATAGAGAGAGAGAGAGAGAGAGGTTATGTGTACTAATTTTATGGAACTTCCTTTAAAAAATAATAGTTGCATCAGTTTGATTCATACTTTTACACTTTAAGAACTTGTAGAGTGAAGAAACTTCTATTTTAAAATTGTTGGATACATGTAAATCTATTAAAATAAACTATACTCTCCATATTACATCTTATATCAGGCAATTTTTATACATGACGTAGGTGGTTGGGACCCTCTACACCCATCATCAGAAATGTGTTATTGTGGATACACAAGCCCATGGAAATAACAGGAAGATATCTGCCTTTCTTGGTGGTTTGGACCTTTGTGACGGACGCTATGACACACCAGAGCATCGTTTATTTCGTGATCTCGACACTGTGTTTGAGAATGATTACCACAATCCAACATTTACGGTAAGTCTATGAATTATTTGATCTAAATTCGTACCTGTTCGGTAACTGAATGGACACAAACTACAATGTTATTTCAAATAGTTGGGAATGAATCTGTGCCAAAATTGTGTATTCGCATTCCCCCCATTCACACTAAAATAAACAGAAGAGAAATAGAAGGAAAGGCAATGCATAGCGCTTGTTTGGAACTTTTGGTTGGAAGTACCTCCGAATGGTAATAAGGTATAGCCAGATAATTTGTGGTAGTATATGCAAAAGGAGAGTAATATCTAGTGGAGAAATATGGCAAATATAGATTCTAACTACAGTAATAAACAAAAATATGTATAAACCAGCCAGTTACCTGATCACTTTTATCATTTTCTATTGTGACTTTACATTGCATGTATTGACATGGCACCCATTTCATGTATTGTACTTGTAGTATCATATTTTGTGGAGTTAACAGTGATCCATGTATTTTGTGGTGCTGGTGATTAAGACACTTGGAGCACCAGAGATGACACATTCAGATAAAAGTTGCTTAAAAAGGGAAATATTGCCTCAGCCGGCCTGAGTGGTTCAATATCAATATAATTTTCAATGTTTATGTGAGCATGCTATTCTTAATTATATGTTTTGATTGATCTGTATGCTAATAGCTTATGAAGTTCACTCTCTGATAAGATTAAAGTAGGGTCCAGTCTTCAAAGTGACAAATCTCATTAAAATCTTCTTGCTGATTGTGGGATCATATTGCCATCAATATATGATCTGTTTTCCAGGAAAACTATCAATATGATAAGGATAGAGAACAGTATCTATCATGTGTTAGTGTCAACTAAAGGCAATAAATTTCACAAAGCAAGTGATTAGTTCAAGTAACCAAACATCTATGGTGTTCTCATAACCAAACATCTCTCTTGCAGAAAGCTTTCCCTCTTCTTTCTCCTTGTATTCGGTGCGTTTTTGTAATAAATTGTTTGCCTTTCAAAAAAAGCCAAACATCTAAGGCATGGACACTGGATTGAACTCTCTATTCATGTAGATGTTAATGCTAATTAAAGTCTGAACTATATGCAACCTGCTAATAGCAAAGTTAACATCTTAGTTCCATTATTTAGCCATCAAGTTTCTGCTTTTGGACCATGTTTCATGCCTTAACTTTCCACAATAGGCAGGTACAAAAGGTCCAAGACAACCATGGCATGATTTACATTGCAAAATTGATGGTCCTGCTGCATATGATGTGCTCAAAAACTTTGAGCAACGGTGGAGAAAAGCCACAAAATGGTCCGAATTTGGAAGGCGTTTCAAAAGAGTATCTCATTGGCATGATGATTCATTAATCAAGATAGAGCGCATTTCCTGGATACTCAGTCCTACGTCAACTATCCCAAATGATGATCCTGCATTGTGGGTTTCTAACGAAGTAGATCCTGAAAACTGGCATGTTCAGGTTCATTACTGTGCGAAACTCACAAAGTAAAGTGTTTGTTTGAGACAGCACTACTAACCTTTTGTTTGTTGAATTTTCTAATATTGGCAGGTTTTTCGCTCAATTGATTCTGGTTCTGTGAAAGGATTTCCTAAGGATGTTCGTCTAGCTGAATCTCAGGTTTGTATTATTTACTGTATAAAGAAGTTACTTTTATTACTTGAAGTTGTTGAAAATGAGTGGTCAAATCCTCACATTATTTTTATTCTCACTTGTTGCAGAATCTAGTCTGTGCAAAAAATCTGGTCATTGATAGAAGCATTCAGAAAGCATATATCCAAGCCATAAGATCCGCTAAGAACTTCATCTATATTGAGAACCAGTATTTCATTGGGTCGTCATATGCATGGCATTCCTATAGAGATGCAGGTTTGAGCACTTTCGAGTCTCGAACTGAAGTTGAATATAGACATACATATTAATTCAGATATCGATTGCTTAATATTACTATCAGAGTAAGAAATCCATAAGAAGAATTTAATAAGGATTATACGGTACCTATACTAGCTTCCCCTTCATATAACAAGTATACAAATCTGTTTAAAAAATAGGTAAAGTGCTCACTCAACTTGTTTTTTCAGATGCATATCTCCTCAAAAAGGTTTATCAGTTACGTACTTATTTTGCCACTATTGTTTCCCTCTAACTTTAATCAATTCATCTAACATAAATCATCAATTTGAGACAAGAGGGCGAGAGTGAGACCAATTTGGCGAAGAGGGTGTTAATCATTTTAGCCGTTAATGATTATGTTAAATAATTTGATAAAGAGGATGTATTTGATATGGTTATGAGAATCAAATAATGTGCTTGATGCAACATCTTTGTTGGGGTTTGCAACTGAATGACATGGAAGAATGGAATTTGGAACAGAGCAAATGAGGTTCTACTACCATGTCTTATTTTATTTAAGAATTTGAATTTTAGTCTCCTTCACTCTTTGCCCCACTGGTATCAGAATGTAGGAGAATTTAGAAAATAAGTTAGAAGATGAATCTCTCCTTAATGTGCATGAAAGTCAATTGTTGCATTACATGGAGTTAAGTTCACAATGACCAATGTCAAGTTTCTACTGCATTCTTTGAGTTTCCTTTCTTCCTATTAAAATTTCCCTAAATGCTTCACTCTTTTTTGAATAGGTGCTGATAATTTAATTCCTGTGGAACTGGCATTGAAGATTGCTAGCAAGATAAGAGCAAATGAGAGATTTTCGGTTTATGTGGTCATTCCAATGTGGCCCGAGGGTGTCCCTAGTTCAGCATCTGCTCAAGAAATTCTGTTTTGGCAGGTTGGTGGCTCTCACCTTCTTTTTTTCATCAACCTTCATAGAAGATTGATGGTGGCAACATTCTATTCAGGGCATAGAAAGTTGTGTGAGCCCAAAATGTAAAACAGTTGAAATGAATAAATTGTATAAGCATCCCAATCATATTCTTCCAATCTTCTTGCCATGCCACCAGTCATAAGTTACAGATAGAGATTGCACAAAATGAGATACAACCCTCATATTTTGCACTTTCCAAACCTCAAAATCTTCGTAGAATGTTCATTTAACAGGATGGAGATGTATGTCAATTTAGTTTACACGTCACCATCTTTGCTTTTTCCAGGCACAAACTATGCAAATGATGTATGAAGTAATTGCTCGAGAGCTGAAGAATTTGAATCTTGAGAATGCACATCCACAAGACTACTTAAATTTCTACTGTCTTGGTAACCGTGAACAATGCGAGGACCAAGTGTCAAATTCAGGCAGCCACAGCTCTTCTAATGGTGGTGGTTCGGTAATGATGCATCCTATGATTTGTCTTCTACTGCCATGTTATATCGGTTACTTTTTCTTGTTAGTCTTTTGGTTACAGGTCTGGATGTATTGATGCCCTTTGAGTAAGAATGCAAGATATCTATTTTTATGGATGGTTTAAGGACTAAATTTGATATTTGCTTTCAGATCTGGACCCTAAGACAATATTATAAAACAAAAATGTGCTTTCTGCAACATACCAAGAGTTTCTGAACTATTAATACTTTACCATAGGTCGAATTCCGAACCTTTTTTTCTCAGAGTATACCCATTACATAAAAATGGATGTAACTTTGGGGCACGGTGGTTGAATCTTTTGGCTATAACATCATGATCCTCTTGCCAGAATTTTGAACTATATAGACTTCACCCTAAAGGCTATATGAATCTAGACATCATTACCAGCTTCTGGAACTTCCTAAAAGTAAAACAAGACTTTTGTTTGCATTTCCAGATTTCGGCTTCTCAAAAGCATGGAAGGTTCATGATTTATGTACATGCTAAAGGGATGATAGTAGACGATGAGTATGTGATATTGGGGTCTGCCAACATTAATCAACGATCTATGGCAGGCTCAAGAGATACGGAGATAGCCATGGGTGCTTATCAGCCCCATCACACATGGGCTCAGAAGAAAAAGCACCCCCGTGGTCAAGTTAGTCTTTCATTCTCATGGGTCGATGTTATTTTTAAATTTCTTTATCATGAGATCTTTTTAGTTAAATCCATATTACTATGACAACAAGAAAAATATAAAACATACACACTTTTATTCTTTTAATTTTGCTCCCTAGAAAATAGGAAATACCCCATAGCTCCGATGAAATTTGTAACACTTCTATTCTTCAAATTTTCATAGTTTACACAACTTGTTTCTAAAAGGAACCATGTGTTGATCTGAATGAGGTTGAGGTTGCAGAAGTTCTAACTTTGATTTTCAAATTTCATCTAATTTTTTGGAAAAGAAATAGTATCTTCAAATGTCTTTTGATTTTGTTGTCAAACAAAAGTCACAACTTTGTTTAAGTTCCAAGAAAATATAATCAGAAGTATTACCAAACAAGGGCGGAGTAGTTTTAGATTAAAAATTTACCAAGTAGGGAAATGTTGCAACTGCACGAGGAAATATCGTATATGTGTTACTGCGCAAGGAAATATCATATATGCCGGATTTTTTTATAAATTTATTTAATTTGCTTATGATTTTTGTTGGTTGAGCTGCTTCGACTAAAATTAAATTTGATTTTCAGGTATATGGATACAGAATGTCACTATGGGCAGAACACATGGGAAAGGTCGAAGACTATTACAAGGAGCCAGAAAGCTTAGCCTGTGTGCAGAACGTAAACAAGCTTGCAGAAGATAACTGGAATAAATTCACAGCTGACGACTACACTCCCTTGCAAGGCCATCTTCTCAAGTATCCAATCAAAGTTGATGCGGATGGAAAAGTAAGCTCTTTGCCCGGGCATGAACATTTCCCCGATGTTGGTGGTAAGGTCCTCGGTTATCCATCCACCCTCCCTAATGCTTTAACTACATAGGTTTCAGTTTCATCCATATTTTGTGAATTTTTGGCTTTTCGTACATATGTACCATTAAAATCTCACATGGATTGATGAAGCATATATGCCGGGGGCGGGGAGGGGGTATGCATGCTTGTTTTTTGTCTGTTAGGTGGTTTATGCACTGAAACCATAAGAGTTGAGGTAAATATGCATGTCAATGATGTTCCTTTTGTAATTGTCAACATGTACATCCTGTTGTTTGAACACATTGTTTCATGAGATCAAAATGGTTGGAAATAAAACTGCTTGGTTTTGTATTTGTGTTTTCCGAGGAATCGTTTTAGATGCCTCGGGTTTTGATTTGTCAATAGCAAAATAACTTCATTTGTGTTGTAGATATCATGCATTACTTTGTTAAATTTACAAAGTTTCAGGTCTTCTGTTTCATGCATTAGTAGAAATGATTCAGAAGATGCAGTTAAAATAGAAAATCACAAATGGCCGACACTGGTACACCAAGACTTCTCAAAGTCATAAGGGGGAAAATAATTGTAAGTTGTGAGAATACGTGGAACCTGAACCCCCAACTCACTCTCCAAAAGAGCCTTTGAGAAAAAAATGGAGGTTCTAACATATATACAGGAGAAATGGTCCAAGTATAGCGGTGTAGGACTCCCAACACACCCCCTTCAAAGAATTCTGGATGGACACAGATTGTTCCAGAGATTAATAGGGGGCTAGCCAGAATGTCGATACAGTGCTAGCCAGAGTGTTGGCTCTGATACCATGTAATCGATAAATTAGAAAACCAATAACAAGTGTGCACCAAGGCTCCTTGACCTTGTAGGATCAAGAAGTATATCTTCTTGCTTGTTGGAGCATCAACTATTGATCTTTCTACTTCAAATATATGTTGGAACAGCGTTGGGTTATTGTGAGAACAACCCTTTTTCGTGGGAAAAATTGAATGTATCCTTATATTATATAAAGGTTTGTCATAAGAACTGTGAAGATACTTTTTTATTGTGTGAAACATTCCGACAATATAATGTAACCTTTCAATACACATTTGAAGTTGATGTGAAAGTTAAAATGTTCACATACTATAATGTAACATTCACACAGTATATAAGTATCTTTACTATGGGCCTTTTACCAACCGCTTACCGGGTAACCGCTTACCAGCAAGATCACCACCATCACTTATCTTATCCTGTAACATTCTCGATCATCAAAACGGATTGTTGGTAAGCGTTTTTTACTCAGTAAGCGCTTTACCGGGTGAGAGTTTTCATCCTAACTTATCAGGTAAGATTCTTGGTCCTTGCAATGTCTCTTACCAGGTAAGATTTGATCTAGGTCCTTGCAATGCTCATCCAGAAGGTAAGTCAAACCCGGTAAGCACTTAACCGATAAGCGTTTGGTAAACTTCCCCTTGTTCTCACTTTCTCATGAAAGTGAAAAACAGTCTGCATTCTCTCTAAATGCGCTATGTTAGAGAGAAATTCACATATCCTCACATTAGTCTTCCCTCCATAAAACAGAATTGTCAGTTCCCAATTGTCAGATCTGCAAGGACTCCCAGTTCCCAATTGTCAATTCGAGTCCCTTCAGGGCCGATAACGAAGGTTTGTCATGCTGTTAACTTGAAGGTCCCATGGGTTAGTCGAGGTGTGTAACTATGGTAGTAGCAGGCAACATGCATGTCGATGTGCGGTATGCATATGAAAGGTACTAGTACAGAACATAAGCATGCAAGTTGGGATAATGATACAAATTGGCATATGATCAAATTCCCTTAAACTCTTCTATAAAAACAAATTTAAGCTTATTTAGAGAGAAGAGTTTAGGTGACTGTGATTTTGCCAACCATACCAGCTCCTGCATGTGGGGAGCAGTAGAAACTATAAGTTCCTTTCTCAGTCAAAGTGACTGTGTATGTGTCTCCTGGTCCATTCAGCAAATCCTCATCACCCATCGATATTTTCGAAGCATCAACACCCGCCGGAATTGCATCCTCATCAAAGATCACGTTATGTGGGAACGCTTTATTGTTCTTGAAAACGATCTTCTCCCCGGAGGCCACAGTCAGATTCGATGGAACAAAGTTCAAGCCACCATCTTCGTCGCCCAGCAGGATCTCGGCAGCCAACGCATTGCTAGCGAGCAAGAGACTGGTGGCAATTGCAACGGTTGCAATGCCGGCTTCTCTAAGTGATGATTTTATAGAAAGCTTGGGGGTGGCGGCGATGGCCTTGACGGTGGAGGTACCGACCCTTGAAGAGGTGGCTGCGGTGGATTTAAGACCGGTGAAGGTGGGGATGACGACGGCAGAAGTTGTTGCAGTGGCCATTTGTGGTGTTTTCGGAGTTGGAAGGAGAAGATGAGAGAAGGTGAGAGGGAGTCTGATAAGTTGGTAGATAAGTTGATATGAGTTGGCTTATGTGGATTGATTCTAGTGGTGGAGATGGATCAATGTTATCCGTTGACGTGGCAGTGTCCTCTGAGTTACAATCAAAATGAATGCACTACAAATTGAAAAGTTTCACATGTATGCTCAAATATATTTTGGTATGTCTCTAAGTTGAAGATGCACCAAAAGCCCTCAACTCATTGAACTCCATTTTTAGCCGGATAATAAAGGAGTTGTTTGACGGTTGCTGAATGATTTGTTGTAAAATGATTAAGTGGTTAGAATGACTAAATGGTTCATGGGTTGATCCAAATTGGGATTAAACATTTTTTTGAATCTTTTTTAAATCCGTGTTTGTCTTGATCACGATCCACTCATCTAGATCGTTGATGAACGTAGTCTAAAGAAAGTAAGCTTTTTGAGTTGGTTTTGAAGAGAAAAATGGATAATAAATACTTTAATAATATTTTTGTATTTGTTTAATTGCATGACCGAGTAAACTATTAATCAAATAAACATCTATGTTTTATGATCTCACTAATTGAATTTAGTCTTGTCTATTAAATATGTAATCGTTGCAATTTTGTTCATAAAAAATTGAGAAAATTGTACCAAAATATAACCAATTTTCACATGATTCTTATTTTGGGGAACAAACTTTCAAAATTATCATTTAGGGTTTCTATAAAACTTTTTGTTTATTTAAGGGTCTGGTTGATCTGTTAATACTGACATCATCCAGATCTTTTGTCAACTAATATATTCCATGTTATATTAATTTTTTATTATAAAACTAATATTCCACGTCATATTTAAAATTGCAAAATAATTATAGAAAAATAACTAAAATTTGTTTTTTTTCCAAAAATTATTGTAATAAAATATATTTTTTATTCCAAATCTCGTTTTAAAAAAAATTCAAATATCAAATTGAATTTTTTTTTTCAAAAATGGACTTTTTTACTCACAATTTGATATCTTAATTTAAAAAAAAAACAATATGGAATGAAAATTAGATTTTATTACAATAATTTTTGAAAAAAAATGAATTTTTGTTATTTTTCTATAATTATTTTGTAATTTTAAATATGACGTAGAATATTAATTTTAAAATAAAAAATTAATATGACGTAGAATATCTTAATTGGTAAAAGATCTAGATGATGTCAGCATTAACAGGTTAACAAATCAACCAGACCATTGAATAAATAAAAAATCTGATAGAGACCTCTAAATGATAATTTTAAAAATTGATTTCCTAAAACAAAAATCAATTAAAAGTTGGTTATGTTTTGATGCAATTTTCCTTTAAAAAATAAAAAAAGTCTAGGCAATTAAGATTTTATTTTTTTGGAAGCTATAGTTATATCCAACCTAAAACCCTTATCGTCGACCATTAAATCCTCAAAAAGGGCGAAAAACCCTGAGCCCCGTCCCAGGGCCTTCTTCTCCTAAAAATGGCAGCAGCTGCAACAAGATTCTTCACTCTGTTCGAAACCACCGCCACCGCCACCGCCACCGCCACCGCTACAAATCTCTATCCGTTCCGTGCAATTCGATTTCCCACTAAACTCTTCTCTTCTCCAACCATACGTTTCCGCTGCTACTCGTCTTCTGCTGCTTCCTTGATAGATAATGATACTACAACCCTCGCTGCCGTTGGTGAAACATCGGAACAACATCCATGGCCCGAGTGGGTGACTTTCGTTGACCGTTTGAAGGCAAAAGGTTACCTTCATCAAGAAGGTGGAAGTGATGTTGCTGTCTACAAAGATATGAGCATTTTGAAGGAAGCTTGCCTCAGTTTTGGTCGTGATCGCTTCGACCTATTTAAGTAAGGAATCATTTTTGTTTTTGGTTTTATCGTCATCTGTTAAAAGAAATTGTTAAGAGATGAAGCTCAATGCATTATGATACATAAAAGCCAAACAACCTAAAAATGACATAGTTGAGGTTAAAATATTTGGGGAAAGAAATGTATTACTAGCCAAACTACTGGGGTGAGGTCCAGTATGGACCTATCTTACTGCTGTATTGATTGATAAATAGCTGCAATCAATGGTTTTCATGGGCAACTCTCGGGGTGCTTGATATAGATCAAAGAGAGTGCTTGATATAGAATAAGAACAAGGTGGTTGAAGTGACACTAAGTTTCATGAGAATCATGGGATCCATTTTTTTTTTTTTTTTGAGTTGAAAGGTAAGTTCCATCAGGCAGCAGTGTGGCATTTTATGATTCACTGGCCAGAATGCTGGGCCACATCAAGACCTCATCTACAAAAAGATAAATGCAGCGTAACTGCAAATTTTGTTTGGATAAGGATAGAGGGTCAGTGAGCCGTTAGATGGGTTACCAGAGTCCTACTATAGACTAGGGGTTGTTTAGTTTTTCTTCCTTTGCGATGTTTCCTTGTACCTATTTTTGTTTTCCGGTGTTGCTTACTTTTATTTAGCCTTTGTTCTTCTTCTCAAAAACCAGCATATCTTCTTTTGTGGTATCAAGAACTTCACTTTCAAATCCTCTTTTAAACTCTTGAAACTTTTGGCAATCTTTTTTTTGTCACACTTTACGCAAGCCGTAAGTCTTCACGAAAACAACCGGTCTACCATTTGGGGCGATGACATGTGTGTGCACATCACACCTTTAGACCCCACCTGCAGATGGGATTTAGGGCTCGTTTGGTGTGGTTGGATGAAGGATATGATTTCAAATTAATGTATTCTTTTAATTCTTTTAAATTTAAGAAACAGTTTAATGAATTAAAGAATTTTTAGGGCTTAATGAATATTTCCATCAGCACCTAACAATGCAACCATGTTTTTTTGAATATACAATATTTGGCCCATTGCTGACTAATGGTAGTTAATAGTTATCACTTATCACTGAAAATGGCCACGCTTACCAAACAAATACTTTAAGGCGGTTGTCTCCTGTCACCTAAAAAGCCTGTTGGGAGCTAAATAATTAACTTAATATGTTGAAATATTTGTGTGGTTTAGGTTGTTTGAAACTTGAAGCTTATGTTACTTTCTTCAGTATTACAAATAACTTCTTAAATTTCTTTTGCTGAAGGAGGTGGCTGAAATTCAGAATTTCAATTTGAAAGATCTAATATGCTAGGTCCACTAGCGTGCTGTGTGTCTTGGTGTCCAGGCTAATGAAATGCTTTCTGTTAACTTTTCTTGTTAAACTACACTGGCTGTGTCTTTGAGAATGTTGAACTTGCTAATCTATTCGAGTGCATTGCAGATCACTATCTATGCAAGATATTCAAACTCTTATAGAGAAGGGTTGTCCTAATATTAACCGGAAGACTGTTAATTCAGGGAAACGGTTGAGAGCACATCTACAACTTGATGAAGGAGATGTAAGTTATTTTTCCATCAACACGCTGGTAAACTATTTAGTGTATTCAATAGAAAGGAAGAATATGATACATATGATGGTTTTGTTGTTTGGACCTTATTAGTTTATGCAAATAAAAACTTTGTTTCCCTTTAAATAATATCATTTTTTTGTGATAAATCTTGCTTGGTCTACATTTTGAGCACAGGTATGTGGTGTTTGCGTCCTACGAGGATCATGTGATAGGGCCTATGTGATACTAAAAGACATTGAATCAGCTGCTCGCACTGTAGATATTGTACGCATCTTGTTAAACTATGCACTTGATCCAGTTGTTGATTCCGACAAGAAGCCTTCTGGGGCAGAACTTGTTGAAGCATCTGCCAGGAAATTGCTTTCGGAGTTGACTGAGCTTAGTGACACAACCATTGATCCTGAACTGCAAAAACCAGCTGCAACAGTTGCTCGGAAGGCGAAATCTGTTGACTTCATGGAACGTGATCCGTCTCAGAACATTGAAATGAAGAGAGGGGATTGGATGTGTCCCAGGTGAGTATATGAAAATGTTTTTTTTATATTGATCTACCTTCCGAAATAAACACTTGCAGTTGCCCTTCCACTAAATTTCCTGGTCTGTGCTTGTGTGGTTTGACTTGCAATCTTAAGTTTTATTTTTGTGTGTGTCTACATTAAGATGATAGTTTGGTGAAGAGATGGAAGAAATGAAAATAGGACCACCTAATTAGATTCGTAGACCAAAATACCCCCCCCCCCTATATTTATAGAAAAACTTTACCTTGCACCTTGGTAAATAAATAACCATTTAAAAACAGAGAAAACAAGCACTAAAAATGGTTTCCCTTATCAGTTTCTCTAATGCTTCTGCTAGGTGTCACTATACGTGGTGGTTATGTGCATTTTTTCTATATAATATGAGGTTCCCAGAAATAGAACAAATTAGTGTTAGAAGTGCAGAGAAATCATACTAATTTTTAAAATTGGAAAGTATCAGGTTTAGTCATCTACAATTGAAAGTGAACTATTTTCTTATCAGAGTACTAATATGTTGAGGAATGAACTTTCATGGTTTTTCACTTCCATACTACAAACAAAGATCAATCAATTGCATACTTGAATGCTTACAATCATATCAATTACATTCTTATAATCAATCAGATGTGGTCTCACAGATCTAATTACTCTTAATGCTTGATTGTCCACTTAATTCACAAACAATGGCCTTCTTTCCATTTATTGAATCATTTAACCATCTTAATTTAATATATATTTGTTAATTTAGTGACAAATGGATGAAAATGATGTAATATATGATTGTGAGAATATAGGTATATTTGGTGATGAACTTTTTTTTAGAGAGATGCAATTAGAAAAACATGAAAGTTCATCGACCATTTTTTCCATTTTGCCTTTGCAAATTGCAAAGTTACAGTAACCTCTGAAAGAAGGGGTTAGTTTGTATTATAAATTCAACTAATCAATCAAAAAGATCATAAAATGTCCCCAAAATTTGAGAGACCACCAGGGCCTTAGGTTTGGAGAACTTTATTTTGTGCAGGGGGTAAATGATGGGTAGCCAATGCATAGATTTCAGCATTAGCCACTTAACTGATTAATAAAATTGTTGTACCATATGAAAAGGTGTGCTTTACAGCATGCAAATTTAGTGCTTGCTAGTGAGAATTTTGTGCAATTCACTGATCACATTTGAGATAAATTCTTTTATTGTTTGCTGGGTAACTTCTATTGTTCATACTGGTTCTAAACTGATGCATTCTTCCACAAATTCTTTTAGGTGCAATTTCATGAATTTTTCTAGGAATAAAACGTGCCGTGAATGCAACGAAGGTGGTCCCCTAAAAGCTGGTATTGACGACGTTGAAATGAAGAAAGGAGATTGGATCTGTCCTCAGTAAGTTGTGAATTATAACTGCTTTTATGGGGGTTTATTGTTATAAACCTCTCAGGTAAAGCCTAAGGGAAAACGTGTTGGGAATATCAATTTTTATTGTGACGCAGTCCTGAAGTCGAGAGAACTACCAGTGTAGTTCTTGCAAATTCCCACCTGAGCTATGCTCAAAAAATAAAAGAAAGATGAGAAAATCAACTTCAATTGTAATTAATTAAAACCAAAGGATGATAGGTTAAAAATAGGTACTGAGAAACAAAATACTAAATATGGATTTTTCTACCTCACTATCTCCAACAAAATGCTGCTTCAATTTTATTGCAGGTGCAGTTTTATGAATTTCTCCAGAAACATTCGCTGCATGAAATGCAAAACTGACGGGCCTAAGAGGGTTGGAGTTACTGATGTCGAAATGAAGAAAGGGGACTGGAATTGCCCACAGTAAGAATGACACCTCTCTTTCTATACATATATATGATCACTCCCCCTTGGATTTTTATAATAAAAATGAAAATACTTCAGAGTCTGATGAAAGATTGAAACAGTAAATTCTTTTGCTTAGAATGTTGTAGTAATTGGGTTAGAAGTCTGAGTGGGATATAATAGGTATGTTTGGTTTGGTTTATAAAGGATGGGGTATATACTAATCTTTTGAATTGGGGTGAATTAACTTTTTAACTGTATTGCTGGATGGTGTAATCAATTAATTCTCGTCTAACTTGATTAATTCTTCTTAATCGTGCCTGATGTTTTTGACTTAATTTAGTGACTAGTTGCTCGTTAGAGGTGGGTGGGTGTCTAATGTATAGACAGCCAATTAAGTGGCCTTATATGGAATTCCTGTTAGTTTACCACCTGTTGAGTGTTGACCAATAATATGTGCTTAACCGATAAGAAGGGATGCTGTTTAGCAACTCACTCTGACCCACAAATATTTTGCCTGAGGTGCTAACCAGACACCGTGGTAAACAATTCAGTTTCAGTCAACGTTTACCAGACCGTACGCTTTATGCATGTTGCACTCTTACTCAGTTAGCGGTTACCTAATTTGTGTAGGTAAACGGCCCCTTAGTTGTTCAAAAAGGGTACTTCACACATATGAGTACCAGTCAACTGACTTTTAGGGAAGTATGTCTCTGCATCATCACATCATCAATGTGGTTTATCTCGGATAAAAAACCAAGTAACTCTGTGCCATTTGAAAAGGATGTCCATTCAAATTGAAATGTGACACCGTTATTATATACACTTACTAATTTGTGAACTTTGGGCTTCTTTTTCTTTAGGTGCCAATTTATGAATTTTGCCAGCAACACAAAATGTTTACGATGCCGAGAGCAACGTCCCAAGAGGCAGCTAAATCCTGGAGAGTGGGAGTGCCCCTCGTGAGTCTCTCTCTTAAACTACTTGAAAGCAGTCGTTACAACGAACTTTTGAAATTTGCTGAAAATAACTTAAAAGAAACTCATCACGCCCCCTTTCGCCATACCATTTAGTGTAAATTCAAGTGGGTTTGGTTTATCCGCCCCCTCCTCCCAAACCTAGGCCGCAGTCTAATAATGCATTTGGGATTGAAGGTGTGATTTCTTCAACTATACTGGAAATGTTGCTTGCCGAAAGTGCAATTGTGAGAGGCCGAAAGATGCAGAAGCCAGATATCAAGAGCAGATATGGAGGAAGCCGTCCTAAAACCAAAAAAGGGATCATTTGAGTGAGGTGCTGCTTTTTTAATTAATCATAAAGTTTTTAACCTTTATGATCATATCATTGTGTTATGGATTTTATTGTTGCATTCTTTCTCTCTTTTGAATTTAATTTATTTTTTGTCAGATAGCATATAATTCATTTTTTTAATTAACCTAGATATTCAACCGGCTATGCGAGCCGACTAATCTCAGGACGACCACCTGCTTTGGGATTAGTCGGCTCACATAACGGGTTAGATATCCAGGTTAAGCAAAAAAAAAAAAATTAAAATTAACCTTTTCAAGTTAAAAATAACCCAAGACACCACCTAAAGGAATGATTTTTTGATTTCTACGATTACTATCATTTTCTTTTTCAAATTTCGGATTTGTAGATATGGAGTTCTAAAATGACAATTTGTTGGTGTGGTTGGATGGTAGATATTTACCATTATCATATCAGATAAACCAATCTTTCCTACCTTTCACTTTCAATATAGGGCAATGAGATGGACGACTTATATACCATAGAAAACAATAAAGTGGCGTTTGGTTTGCAAAATGTTTTGGATGGATTGTCTGTTAAAAGAATTTGACTTTGAAGGAATTGAGGTGAAATGTTGTTGGACTTGACCACCTGTTTGGTTGGCAGACATCAGAATGGAATTTGTTAAGGAATTGAAAACTGATTGTTTGGTTTATAGAATGTAGCTTTGGAATTGGAATGAAATATTGGTAAATGATCAAAATCTCTCTTTGGAGAATTTTAAATTTTTAAAACTAAAATACTTTAATAAAATAATTATTTAATATGTAAAACAATGTAATATATACACACAACTTAAATATAACCATAAGCCAAACGACGATATTAAATCAACGGCGGTTAGCGGTGGTTCAGATCGGTGGTGACTCGTAGTGGTTCAGATCAGTGGTGGTCGTCAGTGTCTGTTGGTTATTTGGATCGGTGGTAGTTACCGGAGGTCGGCAGTGGTTTAGATCGGTGATGGTCAGCGGCAGTCAACGGTGATTCAGATTGGCGGTGCTTCAGATGGTAGTGGTCGGCGGTGATTCAGATCGGCGATGGTCAATGGTGGTCATATTGGGTTTTATGAGATTTGGATATATTGGGTTAAGGACATATTTGGTATTATGAAAATAGAGGATTTCATTCTACCAAAATATAATGTAGTTGCTAAGGAATGTTAATTTTTTTTTATTTGTGAAATATATATGATTTTGAAGATTTCTTTCGTAAAAAATGAGCCAAACGATAAAATGAAATTTGGTCAATAGAATTCAACATTTCAATTCCACCAGATTTCTTTAGAATTTAAGAACCAAAAGACTACCAAAACACTCCCTTGGTGTGCGCAATTATTGTATGGGCTTGTTATTTGCTCACTTAAATGAAAGCTTTGACCGCTATACTGCGATATTAGAAAATAAAAAGGAACATCAAAAGAAAAAACCACAGTTTCTTGAAATCAACCAAAACTCAAATTCCAATTAGAATCAACCAAAAAAAACTCTAAAAATCAACCAAAAAACTTAAAAAAATTCTCAAAATCAATCAAGGAACTTAAAAAAAAGTTCAACGAACGGAATTTGACTAAAAACACATCGTACAACTTTACAGGCTTTGGATTCACTTTAACGGTACACCTTTTGACAAAAATATTGGGTCAACCACTGCTTCGATTAAACCACTTCCACACTTGGGGTTAAAAGAGCGCCTTAACACCTAAGACCAACTTCAATTTACCAAACCAGGTTTGTGTATTGATTGTGGACTCGTACAAGGATGTTGAATAGATGGTTGATGTATCAGACTCGACCCTTACTTTCTTAGCATGCATTCCCATCCATGTCGCAGCTGATTCGGTAAGCTACGTGTGTTCGGTCCACAAAGAACTGCCTTTGTGACATGGTGGCAGAAATATCTTGCTAATTTGAAACCAGATAAAAAAATTCAAAAAATAATACATTAACCTTTGTGACAGATTAAAAATTATAAATTTCTCGTTTTTAATTATTTAATATAAATTTTTACTATAATTTAAACATTTTATTATTAAATTTAAAATAAAACCCTAAATTCACAGCATTATCGTAGTTGCACTTAAACACATAAATTTCATATTGTTGATAGATTGGATTCAGAACAACCCAATTAGATTATCAATTAAGGATAATTTTATCCCTCACCTCGAATCGGATGAATCCTCGATCTGAAAATTCGCTTAAGATTTTCAAACATTACTTGATTTGCTCACTAAATCTAAATGGGAACTCAGGAGCCATTGCCAATGAGAACAGATTCCAATATCCATCGATGAACACAACAATGGTTGCAGATTGTATCCAGCAACAGCTTCACTGACTTCGTTGGGATCGCCTGCACTAAAAACCAACCCAACTTTCCCCACAATATGAGAAATCAGGCCCAGGAAAGCTGTGTTTCCGGTCGCCGGAGCATGAATGGCGATTGAGCGTCTCATCAAGGTATTCTTACCCATCACAACCTCCGAGACGCCTCTCAATCCTTGCCTTATAACTTGAATCTGGTTGGCACGCAGATTATCGGCTCCGACGATGACAATTTGCGTGTGGTCTTTGAGGTGGTTGCGCAGCTTTTGGTGATAGATTGCCTTCCTCACCGCCTTGGAAGCCATCGGAACACCGAGAACATCTACATCAGAGGTTGGGGATAGGGTTCTTGTTTTGATTCAGCAGGCCAGGCTCCCAGCCTATTTGTTTGGTGGCCCAAAACATGGTAAAGCCCATAATCAACTTTATAAATTACAGTTTGAATTTTGTATCTAAATTCAAAAATGAAATGGTAAATATGAAACTTAGAGTTGTTTATTAAGGGTGCGTTTGGTGCGCAGACAAGACTGGACAGGACAGGACGGGACAGGACAGCTGTTCAACGTTTGGTAAGACAGGACAAGACAGAACATGCTAAAATGACCAATTTACCCCCAGCAAAATCGTTTCAATTGAATCAGGCGCAAACATGAATCAGAAACCCTAAATCGCCGAATTATAACAAGTTTAAGAAACAGCAAACCCTAAATCGAGTTATGCAAAATCGAGAATGAAATCAGAAACCCTAAATCGCCGAAACCCTAAATCGCCGAAACCCTAAATCGAGTTATGCAAAATCGAGAATGAAATCAGAAACCCTAAATCGCCGAAACCCTAAATCGAGTTATGCAAAACAACAAACATGAATCAGAAACCCTAAATCGCCGATTGATGAAGGATAGGTAGGGTGCGATGGTGTACCTGATGTGACAAACCCTAGATCGTTCAAACAGCAAACAGCCGATGGAAAGGAAATCGTCGATTGATCGGACTGCCGTCGCCTCTGCCGTCGCCGGTCGCCTCGCCGGTCGCCGATTGATGAATGGAGGAGCGATGGAGAGGTAGGGGAAGGCGGGAAGGAAGCGATGGTGAGGGTAGATTAGTAAAAAATACCCTGTTCTACTTAGTTCCAGGGGGTAAGGTAGAACACCCGTGTCCCATCCTTGTTCATGTTAGTTCTACTTAGTTCCATTTAATAACACACCAAACATGGGACAAGTGTGTCCTGTTCCACCTTGTCCCACGCACCAAACGCACCCTAAAGGTTTACTTTGTAACCGTTTATCGGATCATTTTATCTTATAGAATAAAGAGGATGCAATTAAATTAGGTTAGTATTTTGATATCAAATAATAAAAGCAATATTATAATCTCAAATTTAGTCTCATGTTGTTCTACCTTTTTTGGTGGAACAAAAAAACTCAAAAATAGTTTCACCCAATTTTATTTTTGTCACATGTTGTCCCATCTCATTTTTGTCCCATGGCACGCCATACATGGAATGATTTATTTTTGTCTCATCTCGTCCCACCCAATCTGCATACCAAACACATCCTTAAAAAAAACGTAGTTGAGTTCCAAAGTTCAATAAATTAAGGAACATATATATCATCCCATTAGAATCCAACGACATTTTTGGTCAAAATTAGTAAGGGTCAAACCAATATCAAAAGATTCAAACACGACTCAAAAGTGACTTAAATATACACGATCATTCATTTCTGAACAGATGATAATAACATCTGGTTTTAAACCTCAAGTCCGGGCCCAGTTCAGGCCTTAAAACCCCATCAAGCATTATTTTTGTTGAAAAAGCCAGCCAAAGCCCATGCCTGAAAAGCCCGGCCTCAAAAGCCCAAGCCCGACCTTGAAAAGAAAAACCTATGCTTTTTGCAACAAGCATCCAAATACAAAAACGTGCCTAATAAGAACAAGATTGAAAAACTGATTTTAAAGCCAAAATTCATAGTTATTAGTTCATAAAGAGCTCGGCTGGATGGGTTCAAAACTCCGGTAGCAATGGTAGATGCGAGCACTGTGATAACCGGTAAAGATTACACTTTGTGGAGCCATGAAAATAGCCTCCTTGTAGATGCAGAAGCCTCCCCTAATCTTGCAAAAGCCTAAGTTGAATGCTGGTCTCTTGGCCCTCTGTTATATCACAACAATTTAAGGATTGGAAATTTCATTCCCTTCTGTTGAGACCATGAAAAAATCGATGCTTTCTTCTTCGTGAATGCCGCTTTGAAGCCCTTGACATGACATATGGGATAAAATGCACCTATGCAACAACATTCTAAATTAATCAAACAAATATTAGAGCAATTTTGTCTTGGTATCACATAGAATGGTTTTGAAACTCGAGTATGCAACAAAATTTTAATTTGGCAGATCAAACTTCTACATCAATGGCGAATTGGTTTTTTGTAAATAGGATTCATTGCATCGTTAAGTTGGGCATCTATGGAAAGCAGTAAACTGTGATTGAAAGGCATTTTTTGGGGGCCAAAAACCCATTTTGGAAGAAAAAGAGTGGGTATAATAGTTGATGCAAGTACCTGGGAGTGATTACGCATGCCATGATCTTGAAGGATTGCATCATCGTTAAGGAGCTTTTCATTGTGATATGAGAGGCAGAAGTTTCGCCACACATGCTTCCTGAAAACGAAAAACCACCAAAATGGAAGCTCAATGAAACACGAAATCAGTTTTTTTCAGAAATTTCTGAAAAAAAATCATCAAACAAAAGAAGCATATATGTTTTACAAAAAGATCATGAAAAAGCAGCAGCTAGATAGTATTTGGCCATGACTAACCACAAAAACAACCAAAATAATAACTAGCATATAGCTCATCCAAGAACATAACTCCAGAAAGGTTAAAAATCACAAACAGAGAAAAGGATATATGTAAAACTTAAAGGGACAAACCAAGAAATGTGGCGATGACCCATCTTTGACTGCTCCATTTCGTTGATTTTTTTCTTGATGGCAAGTTTCAAATCCTTGACTGTTGCAGAATTCATCAGTGCCACATCTGTGTTCAATACAAAGAAAGAACAAGCAACCAACAATAGTTAGCGATATGATGAGCTGAAAATAAGAAGCTAAGCAAGCATTATTATGTACCAAAAGATGTGTTGTCCAATTTAAGTACAGAAACCCTCATAGCACTGCCAAGTTCCAAGCTGATTAGGGTGTCAACATCTGATAGAGTCGGCTTTTTTGGTACATCCGCAAGCACAGGATCATCGAGGAGGGCAGCTAGTGTTGAGTTTAGCTTTGCCTTCTTGACATTGTTACTGTTGTACTCTAGGGCCAAATTGTCATCCTCTTTGACGCCACTTGATGTTGGTTCACTCATTTACTTCAAGAATTTGTTAATCAGGAATTCAGAAAATAGTCCCAAGGCAACCTTGCTAAAGTAAAACATACTGAATGGAATAAATTAGAATTTGCAAGTGGAAAATTTAAATACCTCTTTTAATGTAATTAGCAATTGAGGATTTTCAGATATCTACTAAAACAGTATTCCACACAAATTTAATGGGTCTGGTGTTTACGTGCTTGGTTGAGGATTTGCAAACGGTTTTGTGTATAAGGCATTGAAACAAAGGTTCCCATGGTTCTAATCATCAATCGATGACAAAAACAAATTAACAACCACAAGCAACATTCTGTCCAAAAAAATTCAGCATTGGCATACGTTAAGAATCACATTTTCATGGAGATAACCAATATTGAACCTGGCTCAAAATTCATGGGAGGTCTGTCTGAAATAAGCAGTTCTTTCTGGACTAAGCGTTGACTGTTTACCAAGTGTTCTAGATCTAGCTGCGACTTACAAAAATTATCATTATAACCATCTATATGCTGAAAATGATGAGGCTAAAAGTAAGATTTATCCATTTTCAAATAATCAGAAAATTCCCAGGCATTACGAAAGAGCATGGGTATATGCCACATTATGGGTGCGTTTGGTACACTCAACAGGGCAGAACAGAACCGGGATCATTGTTCCACGTTTGGCATGACTTTTATGTGGAACAAACAGGATCAGAGTGGAAAAAGTGGAACAGGCCTGTTCCACCCCACCCCATGGAACAAGATGAAACATACCTATATTTTACCTATATAACCTAAAAATACTAGTCAATTCTCTTCTAAAACATCAAATACTCATCCCTCTTCACATTTTATTCATTCTTTAAATTTTATTTATTGTATGTTATGCTCTTTAAACTTTTACTTTACTATCCTCAAAATATTATTTTTACATGGTTTCTATATTTTGATTAATTTATGTAAATTATTAAATATTAATAATAAAAAAACATAGAAAAGGTATAAAATAAAAATTAAAATGAACAATTATTTTGGTGTCATTTTAATTGTCTTGATGAAAACTTTCTAATGATATATTTTGGTATAACAAATATTTATTTCATTATAAGTAAATAAATTGCATAAAAGGAAATACTCTCTTAATTCCATGAAAGGGTCACAATGTGAGTGCCTTAGGCTTAAATACATAGCAACGCTTTATGCTGAACATGACTTCTTATTATGGATTAAACTTTTTGAGACTGAACCTTCTTGTTGAACATAGAGGCTAACCTAATGAAATTGATTTAATGCTTAGTTGTCATGCCATAGTGTATACAGGGAGCCTATAGAAGTTAACCAAAGTGACCTGAGAGTTTTTTTTCATGCAAATGATTGTCCATGGAAGAGCTTAACACTAGACAAACCCATATTATGCTTGACATTATTTTGGTTTCAATTGCTCTACCATTTAATCACGTGCAGTGTCTCCGGATGTTCTTGTATAAATAACTTCTCCTATAATAGAAAACCATTAAACTCCTATAATAGAAAATTAAAAAAAAAAAAGAACACGGACACATCATCTTTTGTACAGTTCATATAAAGAACAGGTTAACAGGAAGTAGAGACTGATATACACCAAGAACAATCAAGGGAATACTTCAGTACTTTAACAATTCTATGATACTAAAGCTTCGATTATGATCCCAACTCCCAATAATCTTGGATAAGGGTTTATTAACGATGATGGTATAATACATGATATCCGACCATATTAAAGCCTTCAATACATGGCCTCCGGTAGATAAAATAAATCCAATGCTGATGCTAGCAAGTTTGTGTATGCTGCTATTAGATACATATGCTAGGAGGAGAAAGGGGTAGTGGTAGTAGTTTAATAAAGATGTAACAGCAGTAGTTAAGATGTGCAGGGGGATTATAAGACTTTTGAGTAGCCTGTTGTATAGGGGTAAAAAGGGGAAAGCGCATTAAGAAGTCTGTTAAATAGATGAGAGGTTAGGAGGAGAGGACATTCTATTTTGTAAACACTGCTTGGGCGTGAGTCCTTTGGAGAGATTCTGGCCTCTCGATAGCCAGAAATCCTTTGTTAATCTTTAGGTTGTGAGTAATACAACCAGAAAATTACCATCAAATTTACTGTTTTGATCGGGTGTACATCAGTTTGACACTTGAATTTGTAAGAGCATATGATGAGAACCCAAACGAGTTGAAAGTGCATCTATCATTATCCTCTTTCAATTTGTTTTTGCTTTTTGTTTTTATGTATATTTATGATGAGTTAGGATTTGAAGGGAGCAAGACAGGAAGGGGAGTCGATGGATTGATTCATTGATGGCAAGAGAAATTGAGAGGAACAAGGGTAAATCAGAAACAAGATACGCCCTGACCAAAGTAAGAGTAGGGTATCTTGTGTATAAGCTGGTAAGAGGACGGTAAGGAATACAGTGGAGCAATACATCAAACACCTTATGCACAAGAAACCAAACCATACAAGTACAGAACTCAAATCATTTCAAGTTACAGATTCAGAACTGATACCGAAAAGGGAACACTTTGGTAAAGCGCATAACAATACCCTGTTTAGGAATGCAGGCAATCATCTAAATTACATATGTTCCAATTCAAAGTGAAATCCCAAAACCCCCAGTTTCAAGCTCCTTAAGCAACAGTGACCCAGGATTTTTGTTAAGCAGGTGCACCTTAAAATCATATCAAATACCCGCAAGGTCACTTGGTGTGTTTTTAGCCGAATTCCGCCTTTGAGGGATTTTATAAGTTTTTTGGTTGATTTCGAAGGATTTTTTAAGTTTTTTGATTGACTTCGGGAGAATTTTTTGGTTTTTTAGTTGATTTCGAGGGATTATTCAGTTTTTGGGTTGATTTTGTATAATTTCCCAACTTTAAGGATTTGATTCCCGTTATCTTTTACTTTTGTTTCCTAGGTTTCTAATTTTGTTTTCTTATGCATCTAGGATTTTAGTTCTAAATGGAAGCTTTGCAAATTAAAAATTAGCTAACCAAATTTAAAGAACCCTAAATTGATTAAACAAATTAACATCAACAAAACAACAATTAATGTTGAGAAAACTAAAAATAAGCTAAGAAAATTCGCATCAACTTAACAGATACAAGGCAAATCTAGGCAAAAATATAGGTCAAGAGTCAAAACTCAATTACTCAGATATAAAACTCAAAACAAACAAATAGATCATATAAACAAATCAATGAATTCATGTAAACATAATTGGCAAATAACTAATATCAAACTGAGCACAAAATTTTAAATTTGAATTAGGTTTTAAGACAAAACCTGAATGAGAGATTGAGAGAGTGACCGAATGAATGTGAGAGAGAGGGAGAGTCGAGAGAACTGGTCGGAGCCTGAAAGTGAGAGAACTGGGGCAGAAGCTTCAAGCTTTCAGAGGCTCTCGTGCTCTCGTACTATAATTATCAATCCATCAAAATAAAATCTATAATGCCCTTTATGAGTAATAGAGAGAGTGGGGGTCGGGATAAAGAGATGAGTGGTGTGTGACTGTAGGGTGGGGGCGTTTTGTGTGTGTTGGTCGGTGGGAGGGGATGAAAGAGAAGGGGGGGCGAGATGTAGGGAGGGAGGGAGGGAGGGTTAGAAAGAAAGACTATGGAGAAAGTTGCAGGTGGGTCTAGTTGGGAGTAATTAGGGGGTGAAAGATAAATCATTAAACCGGTAATAAACAGTTTTTGAATAATTTAAATTTTTATGACTTATAATAAGTTTATAAATAATTTTGTAAAAAAATATAAGTTGTTTCAAATAAGCAATTCCAAATACCCCTAAACCTATCTAATCATGTTGATCGCCATCTTTTTTTCTAAAATACCACTATCATTTTATTTTATTTTTAAAAGACCTGGAATTTCTTACAAGTCATATTTTACTTGCGGTGTCAGACTTTTTCTGATATTCTGTGAAAAAAATCATCTTTCAAGTGTAATTGCAACTTGTGGTGCCGCGAGACATATCCAAAACTGCAACTTGTGTTTTCCTCTTTTTTTTACAGGTATAGGTCTATAAATTTACATTTTTTCTCAATAATTACCATATAGAGATTTCTTAGTTTGTACAGGCAAATTTATTAACTCAAACCTGCAAAAAAAAAAAAAAAAACAAGCGATGGTTTTGTGTCTTGCGGAAGCCCAAGTTGCGTTTTAGTCCCGCGGCATTGCAAGTTGTTGTTTTAGACTGCACTGCAGGGATAAAAAAAACATAGAATATGTCATAAAAATTCAGACACTACAAGCAAAAGTGGATTGCAATGTCAACCTTGTGGATCAGCGGACAAAATTGAAAACAATGGTGGCTAATTTTTAGAAAAGGTAACCTAAGATGGCTATTTAGGTTAATTACTCGTCTATTGGGTGAGAGAGATAGAGAAAAGAGAAAGTTGTAGGTCTGGTAAGGGAGAGGAGGGCGATGAGTTGGGGTGGGGTCCGGTCTGTTTCTGACATTTTATAGGTCATGGACGAGATATGAAAGGGGCCATTGATAAGTACGAAAAAATCAATTTATTATTTTTATTATCAGAAATAAAATTGAATTAAAAAATATCAATGATTCATATAAAGTCGTTTTTCCGAGTATTTTTAGACGCAAAATCAATCAATAATTACCTTTAAACTAGTATTATCTACCATATCATCTTTAAATAGAATCGCAAATCCGTTCCACAACTAAACATATTTTATGATACACCTTTAGTATATAGATTATCATTTGGGGTCACAATACTGATTGTTTAGAGTAGCACTTTATATAAACCAATTGTATATATGTCACATCATGTTAATGTTTTTTTTATAACAAATTTAAAGTTTCTTAGGGTTAAAATATAATTTTGGAAACCATCAATCTTATAATCAAAAATTATTTTGGTTGTACTTTGAGATTTTATTCTTATTTTAGAGATATGAGAGTACTTAAACTTCATGCACTCAATATTAAGTAATAAATAATCAATAATGTATGAAAAAAACAATGGTAATTTTGATATCTAAATATAGATATAAGTTGAATCGTCTCATATGGTTAATAATTCTTTTTCAAAATAACAAATCTACTATATTCTAATACAATAATAGAATTCATTTTAGATTTTCATAGTAAATACATTTTTTTTACAAAAAACAATAAGAAATACTATAAAATGAAACTTTTTCACATATTTTCTTCTCCAATATAATTAACTAAACATATTTGGTCCCTTAATATAATGTTAAATTCTTTTTGAATCATATTAGAAACTAAAAAAAATTGTGTCCCTTTTATTTATTAATAATTTTTTAGCAACTACTATAAACTATATATGGGGAAAAAAATTGGGCCCCTATTTAATTTCTTGTAGGCCCTGGGCATATGCTGGACCCATCCTCTCCAAGAATGGCCTTAGGTGGGGTTGTGGTTAGGTGGCTTTAATTAAGAAAAAAGACAAATTTATTTAAAAAAAGAAGAAGTTACAGACGAAAATGTCCCCTCCGTTAACTGGACTAACAAGCTCCGTTAGAGAGATGGACTTGGAGCTTGCGTTTTTACATACCATAGGTATCGAAAGTGTAATAAATACTTTTAAGGAACAGTAACGGTGCCAACCAATAAACCATATGAACCAGAAATGTAATTTACTCAAGAAACACATTTCGCTAAATCAAAACAACTTTGAAATTTTTTCCGCCACCGAATCTATCCAAAACCTTTTTTTATATAACTTTTATTCTTTTAATTTTACTTTGTTCAAATAAGTTCAATGTTATTTTATTGAAAAGATTTATTGCAATACAATTATTTTTCTACTTCAACGCTACACCAGAACTCAGCAAAATATCTTGTGATTCCCATCCTCAACTTGACTCGACTATATTACATAAAATAGGTTTCTAAAACGTTATTGCATCATTGGATATTTTAATAGAGTATGTAATATGACTTAAATTTATATAATGTTATGTTTAGGCCACAATAAGAGGTGAACCTAATTTTTTTAAGTGGTGACACAATTTAACTATAAAAAATACCTTTTTTTTTTTTTCCTACAATGTTAATATAGATCTGTTGGTTGGTTTCTTGTTCTTTCATAGAAGAGACACATGTTTAAGTCATGTCGACGTATATGGCCTTTTGTACAAAGGCATGAGGGTTTACCATCTTAGCCATTAAAATCTTATGTTAACATTTAAGCTTTAAAAACTATTTGATAGCACCCCTCATAAATGTAACTTTTCCCCTTTATGACAAAACCATGAAGTGGTGGCCCGTGCCACCGTATTATTCTATTTGGATCCATCCCTAGAAATGGTGCTATAATAAATTGTTATGATGAAATTAGACGATATAACAAATTATATCAACAATGTGACAACTTAATATAATACAAAAAATAAATCGATTTATTAGTCTTTTTATAATGACAATTTTAAAAAAATATCTTATATAAAATGTTTTTATGAAATAACATAGTTTTTAATACATCATATAAAGAAGTTGATTTATATATTTTTTTTATGTACTATTAAATTGTTTAACTTTTTGGTAGAAGATGTAAGGTAGCGTAACTTCGTCATAATACAATATTACGATACCATTTATTTTTGAATTTAGTCTATGTTTTCGTTTAATCCTCACGGTTTCACCCTCTTATTTTAGGCCATTTGAACAAGTATATTGATTTACAGCCTAATCCCTTTTTCTTTTACCAGATTTGACGATTTGTCGATTCCCAATTACACTTGCAAATTTGTAAATTTCTTTTCCTTAGGTTTCTAATTTACGATTGATCTCTCCTAATTAGAGATGGCCAATTAAGCATGGCCCGGGATCGGGCCAGATTTAAAAAAAAAAAAAAAATTATTTCTAGCTTTCTAAGTGTATTTGATTGAAAATCAAATTACAAATTTACAATAAAACATACTTTTTTAAGTGTATTTGATTGAAAACCAATTATAAAACTATAATAAAACGTAATTTTTAAGTGTATTTGATTGAAAACCAATTATAAAACTACAATAAAATGTATTTTTTAAGTGTATATGATTGACCTAATTAGGCTTTTTAAAGTGTATTAGAATAACATTAAAGTATTTTTATCAAAAACAAATTTAAAAAAATATATAAAAAGAAAATGTTTTTTTTTAATATATGACGGTTTGGGCCTGGCCCGGGACCGGTACTGGTTACCGTAACCGGTTGCAAGTACTTTTAACAGCGCTTTAGTATTTTCGACGAGACCGTTCCGAATTGTTACTGTTTTAGCCGAGAACCGATTAAGCCCAACCCGGGACCGGTTTTTGCCATGTCTACTCCTAATCGGTTAGTACTAATTTTGTGATTAAAGTACCAAACATGACTTTGTTTGATAAGTTTCCTACACATTGTTCTCTGCTTACTATTGCCCTTTAGAGATACATATAAAAGTTAAGAGTTGGGGGAGAATTCGACCTTAGAATCGGACTAGGGTTTTTTGAGAATTTGAGGTAAAAAGAGTTGGTAAACTCTTATATGCTAATCATTTCAATTTAACAAGTTAATTATCAGAGGAAATTGATTGTGAAATAACTGATTGAAGATTTTGTTTTGAAAAATGACTTTATATAAGTAAAATTTGTATGTACTTAGAAGTAAGACGAGTATCCTACCTAATTGTTAGATTAAAATAATGGAGAAAAAAAAGGGGCTTTCCTACCCTTTCAGGGTCTAACACCTGCCTGGTGCTGGAAAGTCGAAAGGAAAAGTGTCATAAGCTTTGAATGGAATCCCCGGTAAACGGCTTTGTCATCTTAAGACATTTTTGTTTGTTTTAATTTGTAATACTTTTAATATAATATATGGTATAAACTTTTATATTTTGTTTTATTTATTACTCTTCAGAACTGTTTTTCTACGATAATAAATTAACATTATAGCGGAATGTTCAAATAAGAAGATTAAATATCGTGAGAAAATAAGAAAAAAAAATTCATTAGTAAATCATCATAAAACTCCATTCGAATATCCAGAAATGAACCTATATATATATGTATAATCTGTAATATTGGTTTAATTCACATATGCATGTTGAGATAGATTTTTTCAGATCTTATCAATGAGCTCATATGAATCTTTTATTAACCTTTTTTTTTACCTTCTCACGATATTTAACATGTCGATAATATTATATAAACGTTATTATTTTATAAAATTAATCCTGCAACAAAAATAAATAAAAATTTATAAACTGGGCTCTAATTAATATGCATGTTAAGAGAAGTCGATGATGCATGATGCTATTGCTATATGTGGACCAAACAATGGACTGAGAGACATGCGAAGAGTGGGTTTTATTAAATAAAATATTCAATATTTATTTGAAGCTATGAATAATAAACACGTGAAGAATGAAGCGGGTTGTTGAATTGAATTTGGAGACGTATTTTGTGGTGGGTAACTGAGCATATAGGATAAGGCTTGTTCACGTGTCATGTGCGTCACATGTCATGTATTATTCA